TTAGGTCTCTTAACCAAATATATGAAAAGATTAATGTAGTTGTGGTACAACAAGCCTTGGCCCATCTACGCCAACATTCTGTCTCATACAGGAATAGCCAGATACATCAAGGAAACCTACAAAAGAAGATCAAAGTGACTCTCATTCACCATAATTACGGTGAATAAATTCCAGGCATTAGTCCACTATTCATAGACCTGCTCTCTTCTCAAACCAGCGTTCAACATAACATCTTGGGGCAGTATATCCCATAGGTTAATTAGATCCTGCATAAAGAAGTATCTTCTCTTATTAATTTTAAATCTTCTAAACGTCGGATAACACTCTAGATCTAGTATCATGGGACATTTTTTTAAAAAAGCAATAGCACTTCTATACCACTTCACAGTGCTTTACAGCCTTTTCTAAGCAGTTTACAGAGTCAGCATATTGCCCCCAACAATCTGGGTCCTCATTTTACTCACTTTGGAAGGATGGGTCAACCTTGAGCCTCTAAGAATCAAATTGCTGGCAGTCAGCAGAATTAGCCTGTAATACTGCATTCTAACCACTGCACCACCCCGGCTCTAACCTTAACCCTACCTCTTGTTCACCTATTCTTTATCATGCATAAATGTATAAGCTTCATAACACTTCATAAGCATATTTAAGCCAAAAAGCCTCAATTTTTACATCCTGTACTTGCATACAGTATGAGGCAGGTGTCAGCAGCCTGTGGCTCCAGAGCCGCATGTAGCTGTTTGGGGCCTCTGCTGTGGCTCCCTGTCGAGTGATCCCACCACTGGCTGGCCCAGCCCCTCGCCCTTCCCTCCCAATCACTCCTCACCTGGCCTGAGATGGTAAGGGTGACGCCAGGGGATGGAGAAGCGGGCAGGGCAGAGACAAAGAGAGGGGGAGAGAGAGACAGAGAGGGGGAAGGGAGGGAGAGAGATCAAAAGGGTTTTATGGTTCCCGGTGTTTTTTAACAACCGGTTTTCTGTCCTAGTGACCGGCTGGGTAGGAGTGGCTGGGTGGGGGGGGTCATATGACTGGTAGAAGTGAGTGATGTCGAGTTGGCTACACCCACCCAGGTTTTGTGGCTCCCGGTGTTTTCTTTTCTGTGGGAAACGGGTCCAAATGGCTCTTTGAGTGTTTAAGGTTGCAGACCCCTGGTATAAGATATTCAAGCTTATGGTCATCTTGCTTGCTCCCAAATGCATCTCCTATATATTCATGATATACATGTTGACCAGAACTATGCTAAGTATTTTAGGTGTGGTTGCACCATAGATTTGGATAGGGACATCATAGCTTAATCTGATATATTTTTTAAAAAAATTTGATTTATATGCCGCTCTTCTCCGGAGACTCAGGGCGGCTTACAATGCGTTAAGCAATAGCCTTCATACTTTTGTATATTTATACAAAGTCAGCTTACTGCCCCCACAAACTGGGTCCTCATTTAACCTACCTTAGAAAGGATGGAAGGCTGAGTCAACCTTGAGCCTGGTAAGATTCGAACCTGCAGTAATTGCAGGCAGCTGTGTTAATAACAGGGTGCTTTAGACCACTGTACTACCAAGGCCCTTATATATTGTCTATATAATAACACATAGCATGGAATTTACTTTCATTATAGCTGCTGGACACTGTGCAGATGATATCACTGAAATATCTACAAAGACCCAAGGTCTTTTTATTGGTTTGGCCACTGACAGCTAGTCTCCATCATTTTATAAGTGAAACATGGATTCCTCGCTGCAGTGTGTGCATCACATTATACTTGCTGTTGTTGAATTGCATTTGCCACTTAGTGAAACAGTCACATCAGATATTTGCTCAATTTCTTTTTCTGTTTTTCGCTCCATTTTTAATGTATTGGAAACATTTTATGCAGCACTGTTTAAATTAGCCAACTGAGGGGTCTTTTTAGCCCTATTTGGTTACAATTGTGCTAATATGCACGCAGATATTGCAATTTTTATATGCATGCCCCTCTCTTTCATAGTTGAATGTGGGAGCTGAATAAACAGTGAAACAAGAATGTAATTATTTTCCATGAGAAAGGATAATTGGTTCCATACAGCCTATTCATACACCCCTTCTGGGCACATACTGGCTATGAAAAAAACGGAAATATAATATCCTTTAATTGTGTATCGTCTCACCATGACCAAGTGAAGGAAGTAGATGCTTTCTGATGCTTCCAAAAGATAATTAAGGCTCAGTTCTTTCAATGATTATGTTCACAGCTTGTTACACATTTTCAAAAGCATACGTTCCAAAGCTTTCACATCATGCCTGCTGGTTGTATGAATAGTTGTGGCTATAGACAATAAATAATCCTTTTTGTTTATGCAAAAATCCAGCCACTGAAGCAATGCCGCGGTCATGTGAACAAAATTTAGACACTTGGTTGCTCCTATGAACCCCTCCCCTCCTATCTTTCCCCCATCCTGCCCCATTGAATCCTACATCCTCCTTCTCACCTCTGACAATTAAAGTGCATCACCTTGGGTTGTTAAGCAAGGACCGCAGGTATGTGGCCATTTGGGCCCTCCTGCCAGTTTGCCTACTGACTTTTCCTGTCATTTAGCCAATCAAATGGTGATCACCTGAATGTGGGATGTTGTGATCATGTAATTGTATTCTCGAATCATAATTACATAACTGCAGGTACACTGCAACCAATACAGTTGTAAAGATTGGTTGTTAAGTACTGCTTGTTCAGCATTGCGGTAAGTTCGAACAAGTGCCAGAATGAGTGGTTGTTAAACAAGGACTACCTATATTTCATTTTAAAAAAATAACCCAGTAAAATTATTACTGGAGGCTAATAATCATTTTCAAGCATATTCAATTGTACAAGTATTTCTTACATTTCTGCTTTTAATCTTTACATACTTTTGTGAAATGCCTGAATATTTTAAATACCCTTCCATTTCAGTGTATTCTCGTCATTAATGATTAATGGTTAATCATTGGCTTGTTATCTGTTATTAAGGCATTCACCATCTGGGCAGGAACGGGAAGCAACAAAACTAAGTGCATGCTAATAGAAAAGAACAAACGAGCACTTCAGATTTTTCTGTTATTCAGGATTAAATTGGGTTTGGATTTTATATTATAATATGAAATGGTGGATTAGCAAAGGAAACAATATTAGGTTTGGAAAGCCAATAATCTAGCCCAAGACATGCTTTAAAACTAAGCAATATGGGAACAACACAATTAATGCTAAAATGCCATCCATATTTACTTGAGAATAAGATATACTCTGTTTTTATAACTTGTTAGTCATTTTGCCTCCCTTGCAAATGGAAGTAAAGGTAAGCAAAAGGCAAGAATTAAAATAAATTAGATGGTCAGTATGGGAAAATGAATTTACCATTAAGGAGACTCTCCAGCAACCATTTGTGCAGTTGTGTTAATGTATATCTATGTATCTGCTCCAGGAAAACCCACTAAGAGTGTGAAATATCTGATGGGAATGAAGTAGCCTTGCTATGAGAGTGTTAAAATGTTTGGATAATTTGGATTGAGGCTCAAAATCCCACAAAAAACATTATTGGTAATACTATGAATTTACTAATAGGGACAGAGTGGCTGCTAAGCAATACATAGCAGAAGTGCAGGTTTCAACTGTACATTTATTGGTTTCTAGTAGCAGGTATGAATGGGCAGTACTTGTCATAACAATACTTGTCACTTTGGGAAGTACTGAGGTAGGGCTAATTCATTGGCCTCACTTCAAAGTAGGTGGCTGTTCAACCACTGTACTGCTTAGAAGTGAAAAGGGGATGACTTTGCATTACAGATAGTCCTCACTTAAAGACTGCCCTACTCAGTTTATATTTTGACATTAAAATAGCACTGAAAAAGTAACTTTATGACCATACCTTGCACTTACGACTGTTGCAGTGTTCCTGTGGTCATGTGATCAAGATATGGGGGCTTTGCAACGGTGGGTTTTTATGACCATCACAGCAATCCCTGGTCAGGTGATCATCATTTGTCTACTTCACAGCTGACTTCTAACAAAGTTAATGGAAAAGCTGGCAGTAAAATTGCAAGCAGTGATCACATGATGGTTTGCTTAATGAACGTGGGTGATTTGTTTAACAACCAGAGCAGAAATGAGGTTGTAGGTCAGCCACAGTCACATGACATTTAACTTAATCACTTTGCTTAACAACAGAGTTGGCCGTCCCAATTGTCATCATTAAAAGTGGACTAATTGCACAGTTTCATTTTGGATTAGATTTGTTTGCAGCTTCACTGCGATGAATCTCTCTCCAAAACTTTTCAAGCCTAGTATTGCAGGCAAAGCAATTATATCAAATTTAGGATAAATCCAGATTTAGAATTTCCTGGAATATGCCTATTGAAATCAGTTGGATTTATTATTATTTATTGATTTATTCATGTTTAATTAATTGGGAATTCTCTACCTGAATCTGATGAAACTAGAATGAAGTAGCAGCTATAAACAGTCAAATGTTATTAAAAGAAATAGCTTCCTGGAAAACAATTTCATGTAGTTATTGGTAAAATGACTCAGAATAACTATTTATGGAAAGTCACTTAGACTGAGAAATATCCTTCTCCGATAAAATTCTGTATTTCTCATCCTCCATTCAACAATACAAATGAATCACAGTCATTCACCCTAAGGGCTTGATTTTGCCCCCAACATTAAACTTCAGTTTAATAATTTACATTATGACTATTTTGTATAAATTGGCATTCATAAATATAATCATAAATTAAAGCATGTGTACATATAACTGGTAAACAGGAATAGCAAAGGTGGGTTTAAGTTTTATTTCGTGACACTTCAGGTATCACAGCCAGGTTCTTTTTAAAAAATATTTATTGTAATGACCATTTTTGTGTGGATCTATGTGATATATTTTGTTTAGTATATCTTTCATATACATGGAGAAGAACAGGACAATAAAACATTCCAATGCAACTTATACCGCATACTGTATACAGCCTAAAACATTTTGTATCTTAAGGAAAAGGACAAGATGACACCACCACCCTCTCTGTGTAAAAGTCTGTGTAGACATTTAAATTTTTCCTCAACATGGATAATGAAATAGTATCCTCCATCATATTTGAAGGCTACAAGCTAAGGGAATGCAGGTGAGATCACATGGTTCATAATTCTTCCAAAGTTTTATTGCCAAGTTTGGTGATTACTGCCTAATTACATTATATGCCCTGAGAATTTGTGGCTTATAATAACAAAACAGTTGCAGTATTTTCAAAATATAACATAGTAGCATTTGCTACAACTTTTCAAAGATACTTTCATGGTTTCCCCTCTTTCAGTAGCATATGTTGCCTAAGCACCTTATTATTTAAAGAGCACTCTGTCCTGACCTTGTTAATATCTATAGTGGCAAAGCTCACAGAGCATTCTTGTATAATAACATGGTATTGTAGTATAGGTAGTCTGTTTAGCAACTGATTCATTTAGTGGCTGTTTGCTAAAAAAAATGAAAAAAGTCCATAAAGCAAAGGAAAGCTGAAATAAGATCATAAGCACAGTCAGTTTCACTTAGCAACCACTTTGCTTAATGACAAAGTTGCCAATCCTGAACAAGGGCTATCTGTATATCAGGAGCATGAGAATGTATTCATAAAAATAAACTGCATTTACAATTATCCAATATATTCAGCCTTGTCCCATCTTACCATTCTCAGTCCTTTATTCATTTCTCTGTTGCATTGTAATTTCCCATGCTATTAAAACAACCTGTTTGCTATTCTGACTAGTTTAATAATTGTGGGTCTCAAGTCAACTTATTCTAAATTGCTAGCCACTGATTTTCAGAGGAAAAAAATTCTGATTTTTTTTTAAACCAGAGAACATGTACTTGAATGAAATGCAATAGTTTATAATCTGGGGTCCTGTAGAAAAAAATCACCATCAATAGTATCTGATATCAGAAATGCTATATTTAAATGCCAATAAAATGCTGCAATCCAATACTGCTACTAACATGTAACAGAAATTTCCCAGTGTCCAAAAGAATAAGAAAAGAAAGACCACTGAATTTTCTGCTATTGACCATGCATGTCTTCTCCACAGGGGTAAACCTATCTAAATACATGGAGTTTGAAGAATCAGAATAAAAATTTATCCAAATAAATATTTGATTGATTGAAAATTTATTATTGCTGAGAGTCTTTCCACCCTTCTTTAGTTGGGTTAGATAATGGCTCTCTCTAAAGGACCCTCAAATTCACTTTTTAAAATATACAAGTTAGTGAAACAACAGAAACTAGGAAGAGCTGTGGATGGCAACCTAATAAAAAATAATATAGAATGGTGGGTCCTAATTTGGCATGTTTTCTTATCTGTATTGATCTGTTGACATGTGTCCCTAAAAGTTGGGACTGTGATTTTTAAATTGGACAATCTGGGCAACTAGAATCCAATTAGCATTTTAAGTATTATTAGCAAAACACACACATCTTTTCTAGAAATTATTGTATTGCCTGCATTCTAAAACATTCTAGTGGGAGAAGCAAACAACTTCAGAGCTAACTCATCAAAACACAGACAAGATCTGGCATAATGCCATCTAGTTAAAAAATATTAAATTGTTGCCTTAAGTAGCATTTGTTAACTTCAGCTATGTCTTTGATCCTGTCTTGAGGAAAACCTGTGAAGCAAATGTAATGACTAACTGATAGGTCTGCGTTTGTTTATTCTCATTTACAGGTTACATCCTAATACTTGTGTCAGGTACAGTACATTGGGCCAATTAATGGAGAAGGTTTGGAGTTAGTTTAAAATACAGTAAGATGTCTCCCTCATTTTGTGGTTAACCTTTAAATTAAGTTTGTAGCAGAGCATCCTGAATTTTTCCTTTGAATATTTTATGCCTTTATGAATGGGCTAGGTTGGTTCTTGAGGAAATTATTTAGGTAGAGAATGATAACATTAACAAAATATCCAAGAATTTTAGGGAGCCAGTTGTAGTGTGCCAAGCCAGCAATGTATCCTGATTTGCTCATTATTCCCACATGAATAGAAATTTCATCAGCAGTTTTGGAGGGTACATTTAAGAAAACTCCATGTATGCAAACCTTATATTCTTGTGACTGTGGAAGAGTTGTCATAATTGTTGCTGTATCCTTTGCAGTGGTTCTTTCAATTTATTGTTAGTCCTACTTATGATTCCTTTTTTTCCCCTTGAACTGACAATCATTAGATCTAGTTCCTTCTTTCAAAAAAAAAAAAAAGTTACATAACATAGCTAAATTCTGTTTGGTTGCTAATAGAAACTGAGAACAGATAGTCTAATTTAATCTATGCTTATTTAGCTAATTTCTGATTTACTAAATTGGTAGAATAATCCTCTTTAATTATAGAATTGGTGTTTGAGATTTTACCATGCTTCTACTCTTACTTTTCCATTGATTTTTCCTTGTAATAATTGACTTAACTATTCTTTCTGAATATATTTTGCAAATGACTAGTCACAAATTCTAACTCAGTTTCAAATAAGAGCAGTTACGGTAGAAGATTTCATGTTTACCAGAAGTTATCAATTGCGATCATTATTAATCTTCAATATTATATAAAATTCTTAAGCAAAAGAACTGTCTTTAAAATCCCAATAAACTTTGACAGAATGATTTGAAATTTGAACTTGAGCAAATCAGATCATGCTTGTTGTGGCAAAGGATCCCTTTCAACCAATAATGCCATTAAAAATTGATAAGCATCATAATCTCTTCTAAAATGTTATTGTGCAAATTGTACTCTTCCTAGATTGCTTTTAGAAGGAGGTATTCAAATTGACAAATGTTGCCTTCTTTAATTCCAATGCCAGATGGCCTATTCTTTAAATCACTCAATAATTTTTGTTTGAATGTGTTCTCAAATTACTGTTCATTTTTATTAAGATTTTAAAGGTAAGAAATTAATTGTTTCTATTGTTAGCTTCCCAGATGCATTAGTGTTAAAGCACTGGAAAGCCAAAATAGTTATTTCTTTATATCATTGACACTTAAAAATGTGGTTTGCTTGTTTTAAAACTTGAAACAATAGTGAAGAGAATTGAAAAACCTCATGATTAAAGACAATGTTATTCAAATCTGATTATCTTTTTTTAGCTTATTAAATTTTTCTTAATATATATTATTCATACCTACAAATGGTTTTTAGATATAAATATTGAAAATGGAACGTTAAATTGTTTCCATTCTCAGATTACATGCATTCATACTTTGCTCATTTGCCTTTTCTGTACTTTTTAAGATGTACTAATCATTTCAATTAAAAAAACACAAAGCAGGAAAGATTCAGAACTGCAGATTGTTTCTTCTCAACCATAGGATGCTGTCATAATCTGTCTGTCTGTCTGTCCACCTATCTATCATCTTTGATATCAATATGAACAAATAATGAATGTAATTCATTATATAATATAGAATATAATACCATTTCTGTTTTCTGTTACCTTTTAGGAACAGCTGAAGGCTTTTGATCAAGAAGTAAATGAGTTTGTGGATTATATGTTTGGAGATAGAGGTATGCATTTTCTGGAGCTTTCTGGCTTTAGCAGGTATTTAGAAATAATGTATTACTGAAAATTTGATCTAAATGACTGAGCACAGTAAGTGATGGAGAGCCTTAGAAATTCTATTCCTTTCTTTTACTTCCACCATGCTGAGTAATAAATAATATGATTATGGTAATTTAAAATGTGAAATTTGGCAAGGTTTCATTGACTTCAAAATTCTTTCTTCAATTCTTTGTAATTTGGGAATGTTCAAGAGAGATAAGAAATCCACTTGGATATATGAAAAAAGGAATTCTTTTTTCCATTCCTTCTCACTTAGATAGAAATCAGGAAACAGATTTGGTGGATCCAGTTCGTATGTCTAGTTTACTTCTCTGTTTTTTTAATTTTGTGTTAGATTTTGAGATTGCCTGACCCCCAAAAGTCTCTGGATGCCTTACAATATTTGAAAGTACGTAATTTAAGAAACATGGCCACCTGGACCAAACCACATAAGTAATTAAAAAAAAAATCAATGGAGTTCCACCAGCACCCTAATCTTAACGTTGGGGAGCAGAACTAGTCTTCAAAACACTTGAAAGAGTGGGAGTTATACAAATCTCCATGTCAGCCCTCCTAAGTTGAATAGACTAGGAAACCAACATCATGTGGGCCAATATTACTTTTATTATAAAGGTATAGTAACATAATCCTGTAAGTCTGGATGCTCTCCCCATACCTTCCTTTATCTTCCTTCTGTCTCTCAAGACTTCCCTCTGCTCAGTGCACAGGGGGATGCTGTTCCAGAGGTGGGGGCTTGGTAGAGAAGGCATATTTCTTCAGTCCCACAAGATGAAAACATTTAATAGAGGGAACCTGGAGCACATCTGTTCTGACCATGTTTACCAGATGGGCAGAAAATTTGGATATACATGGCCCTTCAGATAACCAGGTCCTTTGCCATGAACTGCTCCATGGGTGATGAACAGTGCCTTCAATTGAGGCCAACCGGTAACCCATGCAGCTCACATAACAGCAATAACACATGGACCCAATTTTCTTTGCAATGAAGTATATGCTAGTGAAACACATGTGGAAATAGACTGAACTGAAGGACCAATGAAATTTTGGATTGTCTAATGGACAGTTGATTTGTCGTTATTAACAATTGGGGCACATGTTTTAGAATTTGTCAGTCAATTAAAATGTACGTATTAGGGCAAAGTGCATACGTTTATACAAATATATTGAAGAAAATATTTTGCATCGGGTATAAAGACTAGGAAAGTCTTTTACCATAAAGCATGTATTAGGACAGGTTTTTAGGAATTTTCATGTACATTCTTATATAGAATTGGGCAAATAATCAAGCCTGAAATTAATAAATTTATAATTTGTCTCTTTCTCTATTATGTATCATATACCGTGTATGTGCATGTGTGTGTAAGTATGAGAAGCCAAAGAACTACCAGGGCCTGAAGGAGGAACTGGAGTAGATGTGGAAAGTAAAGGCCAAATGTCCCCAAGAGTGGTAGGAGCACTCAAGGCTGTGACTCCTAAACAGGGATTGTAGCTCCAAGAGATCTCAGGAACCTAAGCTTATTTTACTGATAAATAAAAGATTTTGGTTCAATGGATTTTCACTGTCAAAATATGTTTAAACTTTCAACAATCAAAATCACTGGATTCTGATAAATTACTTTCCATTTCCAGTTTATTGTGATCCATTTAGCAACCATACCTTATACAGGTAGTCCTCGACTTATGACCATTCGTTCAGCAACCTAGAGCCTCCCCAACCCCTTGAGGCATACCATGCTTCACAAAATGACTGCAATGGGGAGAGCCCGGATTGCGTGTGTGCTTTGCTTAACAAGAGCAACAACTTAAGGACCATAATTCTAAACTCAGTTGTGGCCATAAATTGAGGACTACCTGGAGTTTAAACAAATCATTTACAGTACATCGAATAACTATAGGTAGTCCTCAACGTACGTCCAAATTGAACCCAAAATTTATGTTGTTAAGTGAGAGATTTGTTAAGTGAGTTTGCTCCATTTTATTACTTTTCTCACCTCATTTGTTAAGTGAATCACTGCAGTTCTTAAATTAGTCACACAATTTTAAGTGAATCTGGTTTCCCCATTGACTTTGCTTGTCAGAAAAGCAAAGCAGATGTAACAAGCAGATGCGATCTGCTTGTCACAAAAGCAGATCACATGACTCTGGGATACTGCAACCGTCATAAGTATGAGTCAGTTGCCAAACCTCTGAATGTAAATCACATGACCAGGGGGATGCTGCAAAAGTCATAAATGTGAAAAATGGTCATAAGTCACTTTTTTCAGTGCCGTTGTAACTTTGAATTATCACTAAATGAACTGTTGTAACTGCAAATGAACTGTTGAGGACTACCGGTATTGTATCTGAATAACTTGCCCAAGCATAATATTTTCTACAAATAACCTCTATGCCAGAGGTGTCAAACTCAGTTTCATCAAGGGCCGTATCAGCATTATGGTTGCCCTCAAAAGGCCAGTTGCATGGAAGACTATGACAACTCACAGTGGCCAAGTGGGCGTGGCTGGGTGGGCATGACCGGCTCAACGCTGCCTCCTGTGCACACGTTCAGGGGGAGCACCTGGCCAAGCTGGGGTGGCTGGAGTCAAGGAGGCAGGGGCTGACCCCTCACTGTTTCCAGGATGGCCCTGCAGGCCAGATCTAACCACATCGTGGGCCAGATCTGGCCCTCAGGCCTTGAGTTGGACATGTCTGCTATATGCTGTGGACGACAGCTTAGCTACAGTAGTATGACGAGGACATGGGTCAGCAACCCGCGGCTCTGGAGCCACATGTGTCTCTTTCATCCCTCTGCTGTGGCTCCTGTCGCCAGTCGACTCCACAATTGATAGGGCTTTTGGTTAGGACAGATAGAGGAAAAAGGATGCCACACAAGAGGAGACTCTATGGTAGGGGAACTGGACTTCCGGTCGGCTCCAGAATTGAACAGGGGTCTTCCAATTACATTTGTGGCTCTTTGACTGTTTGAGGTTGCTGACTCCTGGACTAATATAAGATAGCTGCTTCCCATAAATTTATTTAATTTTTTTTAATGTGCAAATGCAAATATGTGTTTGTATGTGTGTATGAGTATGTATATTATAATCATAATATATGATTATATAACAATTTAATTGGGTATTAGAAGAATAAGCAAGAACTGAACATGGTGATTAATTTTTTTTATTGTGATATGTTTTATTGTCATTTCTTCAGATCCCAGGGTCAGAGGATGGCTTATGCTAGATTCATACTTACCTACTTTTGCTCTCACTATGCTGTATCTGCTCTTCATATGTCTGGGCACCATGTTTATGAAGAACAGGCCTGCTTTGTCACTCAGGGGTCTTCTTATTGTATATAACTTTGGCATCACAGTGCTATCATTTTACATGCTGATAGAGGTATGTCTTCTTAACTAAGTACACTTTTCCTTTCTGTTTTTTATTCAACTGATTGGGATTTGGTAAGCATATTTGGGTCAAATTGACTTCAATGTTCTCAAAGTGGAATTGAGAAATGTTTTAAATGCATCTATACTATACATTGAGGAACATCTATTCTTTTAATTTCTGTGATCTCTGTGAATCAATAGGAGTAAAAACAATACCACCAAGGCACTGTTCATAGCAGCATAAGAACAGGCACTAAGCATTAGACCCATAGAAGCAAGGGCGTACCACGCTAGACAGGACCCAATATTCAAAATATACAGAGGAACCTCAGAGACAGTCCAATACATAATGGAAGGGTCTAAGATGCAGGCAGGATGGCATACACAAGAAAGGCACAATCAAGTAGCTGGCATTGTATACAGGAACATCTGCACGATGTATGGGCTAGACCCTCCAAAGTTCAGATGGGAGATTCCACAGGTCATGGAGAATAAGAGGCTAAGATTTTGTGGGACAGATCCAGACAAACAGCAAATCATGATAATAGAAGTTGTGGTAATAGAAAAAGACCAGAAGACAACAGTGGTGATACCGTAGATGTAGCAGTGCTAAGTGCCAGCAACATCAGGAAGAAGGAGTCTGAGAAGCTGGAGAAGTACCAGGTTCTGAAGGAGGAACTGTAGAGGATGTGGAAAGTAATTGCCAAACTGATCCCAGTGGTGGTAGAAACACCCCTAACAGTTCCCAGGAACAACGTCAGAACTCTCTGTCCAAAAAAGGGCTGTATTAGGAACAGCTAAGATACTGCACAGAACCCTCAAACTCCCAGGCTTCTGGTAGAAGATGTGAGATTGAGGAAGGTACACACCACCTACAGGAGTGAGAAAGGAATTGCCTGCCTGCCTGCCTATCATCTCTCTCTCTCTCCCTCCCTCCCTCCCTCCCTCCCCCCTCCTTCTCCTTTTCCCTCTCCCTCCCTATCTAATCTATCAAAATAGAGAGCTTTCTTGGTCATTTGGGTGTTTCAAATTTCATACTTCTCTATTCCCAGTACACTGCTTTTTTCTAATGAAATTATGACTGTTTAAAAATAATCTTTCTACAATGTCTTATTTTATGCAATCACACATAGTTGGGTATAAGCTGTTCCTATTTAACTAAATCTGAATATCAACCACTACCAAATTAAACAGTGACTGTGGCCATCAGAGTACGTGAGAATTGACAGTCCTTTTCTAGCTAAAGTGCAGGCATATGCACTAAGGAAGACTTTCCTTAGCCTTCCACTGAATGCTTAAATGTCAGAATTTTGAATATTCTAAGGATACTGTAAAACAGACATGTTAATAGCAACAATTACCATTGACATTAAAAAACACAACAATGCCTAGTTGTCAAAGACCATAGTTTTAGACATCATTCACATCATTTTGTGTGGTAACATTATCTCATTATGGATGACAATCACCACATTTTGATTATTTAGCTTAGTGTACATCATACACTATATTCTAGTAATTTATTTTTCTGGGATAGAGGAGCTGTGGTCTTTAAGTACGGCCTGCCTTATATCTCAGCAGCCCATTTAAAACCATGGATTAAACTAGCTCTTTGAAGAGCATCTAAAAATAGGCAACCTACATAGAAAGCAGAGCAGGAAATCTGGATTGCTCCTTGAACAAAGCAATGATGAAGGACCTCCTCTCTTGCCCTAGATTTGCCTTTTAGATTCCCGCACTGCTTTTCTCCACAGTTCCTTCTGAATCCATCTGAAAAGAAACAAAACATATCCTTTCAGCATTAATTAATCATGGATTTGGTTGAAACACTTGAATTATCTTACCTCATCACAATACTACCACAAAGAAAAAAAAGTTTCATACTGTTTACATTTATGCATTACAGAAAGAGATATTATAAGTAAGATAAGCGAGTTTGGAGTTTTAGATTGCAGTCCAGATGTATTTTGGAATGCTGACCAGTTTGAAACTAAGACCTTATGTATCATTTGTGGACCATTTGCTTCAGGCAACACTGCACCATAACAAGTGCCAAAATCAACCCAATAATGAGCAGAATTTACACAGGAAAGTCACTATCAGTGGTTCTCAGCCACTAATGAATATTAGAGAGAAAAAATCGGAGTGACTCACCCAGATGCTAATATTTTTTGTCAGTTCCTTCAGAAGTCAAGGTGGACTATATTTATTTGATCTTTATTCGTGGTAGCTGGCCTACTCTCTTGAATGTTTGCAATATGCGTTATGGGTTTAAACAAGCAATAAACCACTCTTGCTTTTTGACTAAAAGGAATTTTGTAGCAAACAAATTGCTGACTCGTATAAAATAATGGCAAAAAGATAATTTAGAAAGGAAGAATTATTGATTTATATCTTTGTCATCCTTCCAGAGTACATGTTAAATGGAAGTTATTGTTTATGACCAGAGAATTAATCCAACAGTGACTGAAAGAGAGGACTATCAGGAACATGGGGGAAAGTTCCTTGCAAACTTGGTTCTAGGATTTTAGCTTTATCAGCTTTTTAGTTAAACCTTCCAGCTGAATCTACAAAACAAGAAACTCTCAGGTTTCTTGCCTGCCTTCATGACTTTGTGCCACTTGTAAGCATGACAAATGATACACAGGCTGTTATTATGACAAAGAAATATGCACTCCATTAGGTTCCTGCAAAAATATATCTCAAGAGGCAAAAATCACGTTGCCCTTTCCATCTGCTTCCCCTGCATTCCTCTGAGACTAAACAGGTTCATTTCAGAAGGCAAGGGGCACTGTAAAATAATGAGCCATTTCATCAAATCGCTAAATAGTGGATTTATACCTCTATATGAGATTGCATTTGATCTTTTGAACCCAAAAGAACAAAAAACTTTGAAAACGTAAAAACTATTGAAACCAGTATTTGCCATTTAGAGTAACAAATGTTTTCTCTTTCAGCTAATTCTTGCTACATGGGAAGGAAATTATAACTTACAATGTCAGAACTTGACCAGCGCAGGAGAAGCTGACATCAGGGTAAAAGAAACTTAATATTAGCAGGGAACAACAATGCGTTCACACATGCTTTAATGCATCTGACCCGAACAATCAATCTGCATCAGTGGTGGGTTGCTCCCGGTTCTGTCCAGTTCTTGTGAACCGGTAGTAAAAGTGGCAGGAAGCTCCGCCCACCCACCCGGATGTCATAATTTATGATCTGCGCATGCACAGAAGCTTCTGCGCATGCACAGAAGCAAGTGTGCACTCCCGTTGCAAACCGGTAGTAAAGGTAAGTAGAACCCACCCCTGATCTGCATAGGTGTGGGCCCTGAATCCCTAAAAATCCCCACAAGGAGTCTTAATGCATCTGGAGAGCATTAAATTAAAAATGTCTGCTGTAATACCTTATAACATTTTGTACAGACTTTGACAGCCTTAGCAGTTATTGTCCCACTGAATTTCTTGGCCCTTATTTTGGATAGACATGTGTTTTGTATTGTCTATGTTTGATTTATATGACTGCCCATTTTACAACAGTAACTTTGGGTGGCATACAAGGATTAAAAACAGCAGCTGTTACATATAGCCCATGGTGCCCAAGATCAAAGCAATAATAATCCCAATCATTAAAAAAAAATTGCATCAGCTGTAGAACTCATGTAACCTCTTGGTCCAAAAGCCTGGGGAAATGCTCTTCTGTGTACTTAAATTCCAGTGATTGGGATTTTTATTTGCCATATTTTTTTTTTATTATTACTTACTTCTTATTTGGGAACAGAGCAAAAGATTCATTTTCTTAATCTTAAAATTTTTGTACAGGTCGTTTTCTTTTTATTAGCAAAATCGTCACCAAAGTTATTTTCTTAAAAATACTTTTAAGCAGCTCCATTGTGCCATACACGTTTTGCAACACAATGTCCTTCCTTGCCTGGATGAAGAAGCACTGCGCATAGGGTGAAAATGAGCGATTATGCCTTTGACATCATAGTCCTTTCTCCTACATCCATTTAGGTGTCTCTGACTAGGAAGTCAATGTAGAGGCTTTCCACACATTCTGGAAGACCTAAAAGGTTGTGTAATTAGCGTGCATGCTTGACGGGGTACTTTGATTAGTTGAAACCTGGCAAAATGCAAATCAAGTAACTTAATTGGAACTAAATGACACCTTTGTTATTTCGTTACCATTCAGTTTCATTTTCAGTTCTGATTTTGAGGATTCAGTAGAGGTAGTCCTCAATTTACAACCTATTTTACAATGTTTAATGGAAATTGAAAGTTACAATGGCACTGAAAAAAGTAATTTATGACAGTTTTTCACGCTTATGACCACTGCAACATCCCCATGGTCACACACGATCAAAATTCAGGCACTTGGTAGTTGACTCATATTTATGACGGTTGCAGTGTCCTAGAGTCATGTGATCACTTTTAGCAGCCTTCTGACAAGCAAAGTCAATGGGGAAGCAGATTCCCTTAACAACCGTGTTACTAACTTAACAGCTTAACGGCGATTCACTTAACAATTGTGGCAAGAAAGGTCATAAAATGGGACAAAACTCACTTAACAAATTCTCAATAACAGAAATTTTAGGTTCAGTTGTGGTCATAAGTCAAGACTACGTGTACTTTTATTTTTCTCAGTTTTATTACTGGTTAACTCTACTGGACTTGCAAAATGGAATAGCTGCTATACTTCGCAGTGCCGTCAAGGTTTCTTGTATTGATTCTTTTCTCTGTATCTTCTAGATTTTACACTGCCAAATTATAGCTTTATCTAGATCGGAATAAATTCCACGTTTACCGATTCTGAAGTCAAACAGTTACACCCTTCTGCTAAAAGAAAGTTTTTGATTCTGATGCCAGTTCAAACATTGGTAACTGGTAGAGATAGACTGCTTTTTATTTGTTACAAATAGTAGATTAGTAAAGGTACTTTCTTCCATGAAGCTTAATTATGCAGCTGAAGCTTAATTTAAGAGTCTGTGAGGAAATACATAGAAAAGAATATTTTAAAACAACAATTGCTTGGAAAAGCTGCATGGCATTTTAAGTGGGGTAATTTTTAAGACAGAAATTCTAATTACATTTGCGCTGAATTCCCAATTAAATCAACTGAGGTTAATGCCAAGGACATACGGTTATTGTCAGGCTATATAACTGCTTCTAGAAACTGAGGCTAAAAGCCGTTGGGCACCTTCTTAGAAATAAAGGGACATACTTATAATTAAAATACAAATGTGCTTCCAGCACATTTATTTTATTTTCGGCTACTGTAGAATATCTTCAAAAAGAGTATTTTTTTCCTATGGTTTCTTTAAATTAACTGAATATGTTGCTTTAAAATGAGATTATTAATTTTGCATATTCTTTCTTGCAGGTGGCCCGTGTGTTGTGGTGGTATTACTTTTCCAAAGTCATTGAATTTGCTGACACAGTTTTCTTTGTTTTGCGAAAGAAAAACAATCAAATAACTTTTCTTCATGTTTATCATCATGCCAGTATGTTTAACATCTGGTGGTGCGTCATGAACTGGATACCTTGTGGACAAAGTGAGTATTTAGAGATGTCAATTAAGATACTGCAAAACAACATACTTGGAAAACTTTCCTGTAGAATGTCTGATTGCCAATCTGCATTATTTTTTAAAAAATAGGGGGGATGTAACAATACTTTTAGTAAATATGAACAAAAAATGGCTTTGAATCTGAATAAACATCTGGCAATAGGTGAGTATGGGAAGACTGCAGCAGTCCACTGCAGATTACATTGTGAGAATCACTGCTGTAGATGTAAGGAAATATTTATAGCTCACAATAAGATTGGCATACTCCAAATGATAGAAAATACTTTGCCATCCAGATTTTGCAGCCAAAATGTATTAAGGGCAGAAATAACTCAACATAACCATGTTTACATAAATCATTTGCACCACAGAAATCAAGATGCATTCTTTAACACTAAGAAAACTGCAATATGTTAAAGTGTCATAAATTGTCACTTAAGTATAATGCTGCTTCACAGAAAGACGTATTTTATAATAAATACATGACAACATATTTAATTATGTTTTCGCAGGTTTTTTTGGACCCACTTTGAATAGTTTTATCCACATCCTCATGTATTCCTACTATGGATTGTCGGTCATTCCATCCATGCGTAAATACCTTTGGTGGAAGAAATACCTCACTCAAGCACAACTGGTACAATTATATTTATTTATTCTTAGTAAATCATGTTTAAAGAATAAAAATCCTAAGTGTTGAAGCAATATGGAAGTATGGGGACAAACCACTTTGAAACAAAGATAGAATTGAGGAAAAAAATCAGTTTGGGTGGTAGATTATTTAGCTTTACGAAACTTCCATGTTGCTTTTTAGTAAACTTGGCTGTTAATTTTAGGCACATTTGAATCCAACTATATCTGTAATGTAGTGATGGGCAAAATGAGACCTTTAAATGTGGATCTTTGCTTCCATTTGCTTTAACTGTCATGATCAGAAATGAGAAATGATGGCAGATATACTTCAGCATCTGAAAGATCACAGTATACTCTGAAGCTGGAGTCAGAAAATATAGTCATCTATTCTAAGAATTACGTAACACAGAAAGTGAGACAAGGAAAAGAAATAGATTTGATGAGAAGCAGAGCAGTTGTAAAGCAAAAAACATCAAGTAATTGATATTTGAGCAGTTATTTTAAAATTAGAAGATAAATGTGTGTTGCGACATTTATTGGTAAATGTAGATCTATTTCAGTTCTCCCTTATTCTGTTCTATCCTGCCCCCACCAAAATGCCAGAGCCTTCAACACAAGGTCCCTTCCCAAGCAACTATGGTATGGCTACTGATCACCTGCCTATAATGATAATATTATGAGGATTAATTTTAATCTGACAAAATCATTCTGCAACTGCTGTGATGCTTTTGCTTCTTTTAACAGATTCAGTTTTTGTTCACCATTACACATACACTCAGTGCAGCTGTCAAACCCTGTGGTTTTCCCTTTGGATGCCTTACCTTCCAGTTCTCCTATATGGCCACATTGGTGGTTCTGTTCATTAACTTTTATGTCAAGGTAAGCCAAGCAAAAGAATTGAGAAGTGCACACACAGGTCTGTTTTTAAGGAACGAAAGTTGTCGCTTGAAACACAAGTACCTCTGCTTTTGGGTTTAAGTAATACGATGCTTCTGATTGATTATCCAACCTAGATCGGTGAGAGATTTTGTTGCCCTCTCTGGACATGCTTCTTTCCCCCATGAAATACGAGGGCAATTTAATAACCAGATCAGATTTCTATAGCCACTAATAATGGGACAAAGAATACAAACATTAAAAACCTACAAAGATATATCTGGCAGAATTTTGCAGCATTCCAGATCTGAAAACTAAAAAATACATCTGTTTGCAAGAACACTTGGCTGCAACTCATTAAAGTAGCCGTGTCTTTCCAGGATCACACAGCTACCTTTTGTAGTTGGGAATAGAACCTAAGCACCTTTGCTTAAGCAGTTACTACATGCATATTCCTGCGTGCTCTGAACCTTAACCTTTTGTCCTTGACTTCAAAGTACTGCACAGCCTTACCTGCTAAGGACTGATGGATAGTGAGTGACAAATGATGAATGTAACTAGTCAGACAATTTTAACTGCAAATCAATATAACCTCATATAGGACTCATACATCATTGCCCAAAACAGAAGGAATGCATTCATAAAATTGAAAAAATTGATTTAGGCTATTGGATGCACTGAATTCACTGTGTGAATTCAAAATGATAGGTGATTATATAGACTCTCCCTTTTAAGTAGAGGCTATATAAATAGGGACAATTGATTCCTCATGTGAACTTTATCCAGCTTCCTCATATGCTATTTTTGGGCTAATTTAAATCTTCCCATAGAATCCCTTGTGGAAATATGAAAGGCCTTCTGTATTGCTTTTTTTTTTTTTTTTTTTGGCACAACCTGTATGTTTCTTCTAGCTGGTTCACGTGCCCCACTTATCTTGTCTTCAAGGCTGTGCTTCTTCTGTTATGGTTATATTGCATTCTCTTGGTACCCAAAGCTATGCTGTTTGTTATCTGAGAAAATGTTGTCCTTCAGAAGTGGTACACCCAGTGCTGTTGTAAGAGCTAGGCTCCTCACATGGCAGCTTTGCAAATCTAGTGCCTTTGTGTGTTTTTTAAAGTGGGAAAGAATGGTAGGACAAAATATTCTCACTCATCTTTTCATAACATTGTCTTATAAGAAGAAATAATGCAATTATCAGGATAAGTATGATTGCATAATGGACAAAAGATGAGCTGAAAGAACTTTTCTTCCAAATTCTGCTATCTACAAGTAGAATATTGTTGGATCTATGTCCAGAGTGAGGTAGGGGTGTATTAGAAGGAAAGGGCAAAGAAAAGGTGCAGTTTTAGCTTCCTGTTTAGCTGTTCCACAAAGTCAGAAGCAGTGGTGAAATCCTACTGGTTCGCTCTGGTTCAGGAGAAGTGGTAGTGATAAAAGCTACTGGTTGGTCTGAACTGGTATTTCTGATAATCAGCTGTGCCGCGTGATTTATATTCGCTAGAAAGCAGGAAATCTAAATAATGCGGCACAGCTGTTCCCCCCCTTGCTGTTCTATTTACCTTAAGTGTCCTTTTTCTGTGCAAAGCGCGCATTTGGTGCACACTGTGCATGTACACAGTGTTTGGCATGCACGCAGCATGCTCACGCATGTATTTGGCGTGCACCACACATGCACTGGCAGTGAACAGGTGGCAAACCATGGAGGATTTCACCACTGGTCAGAAGGGATAGTTCTACAAACTAACTTGCAGTAGCAAGATATTGAAAACTGTTAAACCAAGTGGGAATTACCTAGTATGACAGTATTGATATGAGACTGTGTGCTGTTTAAACATTAGACAAATCACATTTGCATGCTTCTTTGTATCCACCTATAATCACCACTTTTTCTTTTCAGACGTATCGGAAAGCATCTTCAAAAGCCAACGTGAAAGAGATTCCTCTGGTGACAGAAATTAAGAATGGGTTCCATAAAGACTACCTAAAGGAAATTAATGGTGCTCTGAAGAAAAAAGCACAATAACCATATTTTTACTATTACATTGTAGAATACAAATACCTCTCACAACACTTTTCTAAAACAAAGCAAAATTATTATACACAACTTTAGTACAATTTTAAACTCAGTGGCAATTGGTTCTTCTACTCTCTATTTCATTGATTTCTTTTTAACAATAAGACTTGTAAATGGTGAAGGCACTTACCTCTTTTATCGGGCTGAAGTCAAACTGCATTCTGTAATTCTTAATATAGAGAAAATGCCTTGAGAACTTTCCCTTTAATAACAAAGATTTGGATATTCTTGAATAGAATCTAAAACGTTAAACTAGCAGCAGACTGCAGTCTATGAGAAAACAATGTATTATTCAGTCAGTGATACAGCTCACTCCTTTTTTGTGTTCTCTTAGTTTCCCTTGCTTTATTTTTTTTGGGGGGGGGGAATCTGTGTCCTCAAAATCTTGGTTGTTGCCTTGATGGTGCTATAGATTGCTCTTATCACCCATTCTAGATACAGGATGGAATACATAGTGCAATGGGATTAATTACAAATTCACATTTAGCTACAGTGAAACCATCCGAACATTAGTGTGGCTGTATGCCATCTTTTTAAAATGCACTGTTTTAAAACTGAACAAGAATAGCGTCATAAACCTCTCCTTAAATATTTGTATTTGTAGCTGTATACCTTAAACACCATGACAATCACACAATGGCCTGAATGTTATTAACTTTGGAGGTTGACATCCAAAAATTTTGGTTTTATTCCCAAATGTCAATTGTTACTCTGAAATTCAATAGGGACACTTTGTATTCTCATTATGCCACATCTACAGACAACTAAAACCAATTTATCCATCAAATGGCTGGTGAGTATACTTTAACATTAATGTATCTGAGATTAGCAATGCAACAAGTTAACTCATCCTTGCTGAAAGCAAGTTTGCCCATGTATGCCAACTTGGCATTTTGGATACCAAGTAAAACTACTCACATGAGATGTGAAAAGCTATATATCCTTAGTATTCAAATACTGAAGATGGGACTACCCATTCACCCTACACAGAGCTAAATGCATTTATCCAGTTTGATACCTTTTCTATTGTTATAAAAATAAGTAACAGGTGGAGAAAAGCATTTGCAAAGCTAGTCATTCCACATACTCAAGACAAGAGGCGTGCTCAGTTCTATAAGTAAAATGATGATGGGGGGGGGACAGTTGGTATTTGGCTGGTCATTTTACATTTTATTTTGCACACCATTTCTATATTTTTAGTGTCTGACTTCATAACCAGTTTGGGAGGGTACTTTATTATCATTCCTATTGCAGAGGGAGGAAGACATGAAAAGAGAATACCCAGAGATCCACTGCAAACATTTTTTCACCAATTTAGCTTAAGTATTTCTCTTGAAAGGTTCAATAGTATGATTCAATAATTTTGTATTATAATTCCTAAAAGAAGTTTCATGTAATTTCTCATAACTCTCTACTGAAAGTCAACACTAAAATCCCTATAAATCCATCAGAATGATGGATTAGACCAGAACTCTTCAAATGTGGCAACTTTTTAAGGCTTCTGGACTTCGACACCCAGATTCAGGTGGTGGAATTCTGAGAGCTGAAGTCCACAAGTCTTAAAAGTTGCCAGGTTTGGAGAGCCCTGCATGAGACTATAACTTCTGCATGATCTGACCGATTGGGAGCGCTGAGAATTGAAACCTAGGTTTACTGAAGGTAACAATTGAGGAAGAGTTTAATCAAAGTAAATCAGCAAATCTCTAATGAGGAGGACCCATAATGAACAATATTCATGAGTCCCTGAAGGGATCCTCTTAGAAACCTTTCCATAGGTCAGTGAATATTAGAGATAGTAAATTACACAAGGATTGTCTCACTCACCTTGATGGTTTAAAAACAACAACTAACATTGCCTTAATGATTAAGGCTTAATCAAGCTTTTAAAGGGCTGAAAAAATGTTATCATGTTAACATTTAAAACCATTTGAATAAGCTACATTCAGGTATTCACTGAATGCAGAAAAACCAATCAAAATGCTGCTATTTTGAATCACAACCAAGATTATGACTTTTAAAATTATTTTCTTGTAAACATTGACCATTGAAAATAAACGAAGTTTTACAGCAACATATTTTAAAGTCGTCTCTTTTTGTCCATGTGGCACTGAAATAGCTTCAAACAAACTAGTTGGCAAGTTATTCATTGTTAACTTTCAGTTGGTTTCTTCAACCCTATAAAACCTATACCACATTTTATTGTAACAGCCTTATTCTTTCAAGCAGATGTAGAAAATAATCTTTGTATACCAACTGTGTGTTTCCTTTAGAAATGCAATTCTATCATTAGTTTCTTTCTTTGCTGTTTGGCTTACCAACCTACTACAATGATACCACATTGATTTTCAAGACTTGCAAAACATTTGGTAAGTTGTTTTTCCATGGATTATCGTGAACAAGTGGAAACAGAAAGGATTCACACTCTTCTAAAGTGAAATGCAGAGTTATGTTTAAAGCTCATGGAGGAATGATTCACAAGATTATTTTCTAAGGTACTTAAAACAGGCTGAAGTGGATCTTTCACAATTCCTAACAGGATACCAAAACAAGATACAGAAAGTTGTCATTTGTCTAGTAGCAGTCTAGTACAGTGACTCCCAAACTTTTGGGCACCAGGGACTGGTTCCGTGGAGAGGTTTTTCGGTGGACTGGAGGGGGCGTGGTTCGTGTGCTGCCTGTATCCTGTGGATGGGGCTTCGCTTGTTTGTGCGGCCTGGTTTCTGGCATGCTACAGCCTGGTGCCGGTCCATGGCCTGGGGGTTGGGGACCCCTTGTCTAGTAGTCATCCAGACTGTTTTATCCCAGATATTGTATATAGATATTCTTTAACTTACAACCCTGATTGAACTTAGTAATTATGATAAGTCATGACAGTTGTAAAGCTGGTCATCAAGTGACCGACCCGATTTAACCTTGTTTTGCAGAGGTTATTAAGTGAATGCTGCATTTGTAAACCAAACACTGCATTAGTTAAGCAAGTCTATTATTTGCTATGGGCCATTTTTTTTGGAGAGGGCAGAAACTGGAAACAAACACCGGTTTCTGGCAAAAACTTTGTAAAAGTCATCACTTGACCCTGCGGTGCTGCAAATAGCCGTAAATGTGATCCAGTTGCTGAGCGCACAGAATGTGGCCATCAGAACTTAAGAAGTGCATCGTAAGGAGCTTGGGGGGTGGGGGGAGGAAAGGGCTGTCATAACTTTGAACAGTTGCTAAGCAACCAATTTGTAAGTAGAGGATTACAGTACCTAATTTTTCATTTGTGAAAGCTGGTGACAATCTCCACCATGGATGGATGGATGGATAGACAGATAGATAGATAGATAGATAATAGATAGATATTCTAAGGTAGCTGAGTCCTGCGGTTCAAAACAGAATTTGAAGGATTTTCTTCCAAGGCAAAAACTAGTCAGTATTACCCTCTTCTGGCCAAGAAAACAACTGAAAATTTATGATCGCGCTAAATAATGAGACAATGACTACTACATACTGAATATATTCACCCAGTGTATTTTCAAATGACTTGATATATTTGATGAGTGTTGCTTAAGCTTATATTTAAGATAAATGTAAGTTAGTTAGCAGAACCAGCAGACGTTTTGCTCTGCTTTCCCGTGTGGTTGGAGGCGTTTCCATCCTGTGGGGAAAGAAGGAAAACTGTTTCATAATTTATGTTGACATCTTGCAACAGAACCTAAAACTAACCATGAGTTAAAATACAATTTGTTTTTATATCAGCCCATCATATAGAAAAAGCCACATTATGTCTATTGGATGAAGAGTATTGCTCCAGTGGGTAACTGGAGACCAGATACTTAATCTCTGTGTGAAATGTTTAGTAAAAATGTATCTTCACACTCGGGTAAAATCTGTTAATCCTTACATTTCCCAAGTTTTTTGTTGAAAAGTATACTGAATTATATATAACACATACATTTTCATCGTGAATGGTTCCATCAAGACCCCTTGTGTCTTCCTGCAGTATATCCATGGACTCCATCCTGCAATAAAAGGCAAAGCAGAAGCGATTGAGATGTGCAAAGTGGAAACAACTGCTTAGAAATGAAGTTTATCTATCTAGTTCTCACTTCACTCATACAACAGACCAGGACTGTGGCTGTTTTTTTACCCCCAAAAAAAGACTGCAATCTAAATTGTATTGTTATTTGTGCAATATAGGACAGGATCTTTCACCTCTAGTACAAAAAGCAAGAAATGAATGTGTCAGGTAAAATATCAGAGGTAATAGAATTGGAGGTCTCTGCCCAATATAGGATTTGCAATTCAGGATACAACACGATAGATTATGCATAACTGTGAAATTATACTATATATGTGAATGAGCCATGGTGGCGCAATGGTTAGAATACAGTATTGCAGGCTAACTTTGCCCACCGCCAGGAGTTTGATCCTTGACTCAGGCGTTCATCCTTCTGAGGTCGGTAAAATAAGGATCCAGATTATTGAGAGCAATATGCTGACATTGTAAATCATCCAGAGAGGGCTGTAAAGCACTATAGAGTGATATATAAATCTATTGTTAAGACTGCTATATACCTTTAAAAAAAAACCCATCACCTTACTGAAACTGCAAATAGCACAGGAGAAGAAAGTACCATCCATTTCCTGATGTTTGTTACTTTCAATTTATAGTGTAAAAATAGTCTAGCAATGGTGAGATAGAGATGTTTGAACCCACATCCCAGAAAAAAGTTGTGCAAAGGAAGTGTTCAATGGTGCTTTTTGGACAGACAGGAGAAAATTAAATACCTCTGAATCTGATGAATGCAAAATGCATTCAGTTTACTGTTCAGTTTATTGGATTCTTTTGTCCAAAATTCCTGTAACAAATTTTCTTAATGTGAGTCAGATGACAAAACATTAAATCAATTAACCAACAATGGAGAAAGAATAATCAGACATACCAGGGTATCCTTTTCAAGGCTTGAGAGAAACTCTGTTCTGTTCTCAAGATTGGCAAGTTCTTTAACGACACTCTTGTGGAAGCTTTCCAATTCATGCAGTCTGCAGCAGATATATCAAAGATACTTATTTCATCAGGAAAAAAGAATCTTGATATTGCTATATACTAGTGCAAAATATAAAATGCCTTTATCCACTTCATCAGTCTCTGTCAAGTGTCTTAATAGGTTTGCATGCTTGATTTGGAAATCAACTGATGAGTAACCAATCTGGGCTTGAATAACATCTAATACAGGTAGTTCTCAATTTGCAACAGTTCATTTAGTGACCATTTACAATGACACTGAAAACCTTGAGTTATGACAGTTTTTCACACTTATGACCTTTGCAAGCAGCCCCACGGTAACGTGATCAAAATTCAGAGCCTTGGCAATTGTCTCAGATTTATGATAGTTGCTGTGTCCCGGGGTCAATGAGATCACCTTTTGCGAATATCTGACAAGCAAAGTCAATGGGAAAACCAGATTCACTTAACAACCATGTCACTAATTGAACAACTGCAGTGATTCACTTAACCAGGAAAGGTTGTAAAATGGAGCAAAATTCACTGAACAAATGATTCACTTAGCAACAAAAATTTGGGGCTCAATTGTGATCCTAAGTTGAGGACTCCCTGTAAACTGTGAATCGTATTTTTGGGACATTTGGTTTCCTTCAAAACTTTTTATTGTGGAAGCCTTGTTAAAACTAACCACTGTGCACAGATTTCCCTCAACCATTGCTTGTATTTATTAATATATTTCTTTACGACATACAATCTAAGACTATCGTTGTACATATTCTACAGTGATGCTCAGTTCACACAAAGCAATAGCAAGACACAAATAAGCCTAACCAATGTCTAACATGCCACCCTAATTTGTTTAATGAATTGTTTTTGGAAGTGCTTCCAATGCAAGGCACATAGAGCAAGAAGAGTCATGGGCTGAAATACGAAAATCAAGCAGTGTATACATTATGTTGTTTTTGCCCATTACTTTAATTAAATATTCCTTAGCCGAAAAAAATGAGTATGTTTTTCCTAGGTGAACATCTTAGCTTCATCTTACGAACCATGAGCTATCTTGGCAAATGCATAAGCTGTCCCGTCTCTTTGAACTTCTACTAGGAAAAGAGATTAATGTGCTTATACTACACAAGATGGGTACCACTTACCGCCTCTGATGGATTCGATGCAACAAGGCTGCTATATTCTGTTCAGGTGCCTTCATGACTCTGTGTGTATAAATCTCCATCCTCTTGTATCTAAACTAAGTCACAGTACTGGGAGATTAGAATCACAAATTATTTGTAGTAAGAAGAATAACCCTAATCTAAACGGTCTGTAAGGATCACACAGTATAAAAAAGTGTCATGCCCCTGTTGGAGCCTGAATCTGCAGAGGAGGATGAGCAGGAGCTGTGGCCTACAGAGACTAAGGGGGCAGCTTCGTTGGAATGTGGGGGGGAGCAGGGCGAGGCAGCCCAAGGCCCCTCAGGATTGGGATGGCGTGTTAGCAGGGAGGAACAGGGACAGGATGACCAAGAGAGGGCAGGCAGTGGAAATGAAGAGTGACGGAGCTTAGGTGATGAGCAAGGCGCACCCCCTCCTGATCCCTGAGCATGGGGTGGAGAGGTGGAAATAGTACAGGCCAACCGGATGACTCGGGAGGAGAGCGCCCCGCCCCTCTTCACAAGGCACACCTGGGGACTGAGACTTAAGGAGATGCTGTGGGGAGGAGCATTTGTCAGGAACAAATGCTGAATTCGTGGAATTTTTGTGACGTTTGGAGTTTCCTGGACTTCTTGATTTATTCCTTGCTTCCTCAACAAATTGCCTTGCTTCTTTGCTTCCTGGACTCATTGACTTATTCCCCTGCCCCACTGGATTTCTTGCTGTGCAGCCATTGTGCTCATAGCATTGTATTGGACTACTTACAGCCAGAGGCTCCTGAAGGTGTGTATGTGTGAGAGAAAAAGACAGAGAGAGCACTGTGCTCTGGGACTTGCCATAAACATGGAAGTGTTTGGGGGAAAGTTGACACAATAAAGGGGTGGTTTGAACTATCAGTTGACTGGTTTGCCTCCATTCCTTGCCCCGGGTCATCACAGGAAGACAGGAAAAGAGAAGGAGAGACAACTGGTTGCAAATAGGGGAATTTGCAATAGGGAAAAAAAAATAGTTTACATATTTGTGAGCCTATCTAGAAGTTATTCACAAGTATAAAAATGAGTGTTGGTCAATTGTAGGGAAAAATATTTACCCAAAATGTTTTCTTCAACTCGCTTGTAAAATTGTCAAAAGCGGCAATAACGTCCGAGTCACCAAATTCTTCTTCAAGTATTTTAGGGGCAAATATTTCATTCTCAAATTCATTTAAAGATTGGCCTGCAAATAAAGAAGCACAGCTTCCCTAGCAAGGCATTTATAACAATAACCAGCTGGAGGATAATCAGGAAAATACACAGCTGTGTTTAACTGAACAAATAGGAAAACTCTTTTAACTTTGTAGACGTGGTGTACAAGATGGAAAACCTGTACCAATAAATACTGCCAATTATCTGAAACACAATTTCTCTCATCCGCACTTACCAAAAGTTAAAATTTTTATTGTAAAATTTGCTGCTTCCTCCTCCCCTTATTTACAGTAGCTGTGCAGTAATTCATCTTGATGCTTATTTTAGCATTTTGGAGATCTTACTCATAAAGGCCTTTTACATAAAGTTTTCTTTAAATTATTATTTGGGAATTACAGTTTATAATCTGTTCATTCATGGTATTTTAATTTGTTTTAATGTTTCGATTAAATTGTAACAGCTTACAAACTGTGCAGAGAAGTGAAATAGCTATATAAATGTTAACAGAAGGAAATTTAATAGGATGCAGCAGTGGTGAAATTCAAATTTTTTTACTACGACTTCTGTGGGCATAGCTTGGTGGGCGTGGCAGGGGAAGGATAGTGCAAAATCCCCATTCCCTCCCCATTCCTGGGGAAGGATAGTGCAAAATCCCCATTCCCTCCCCACTCCTGAGGGAAGAATATTGCAGAATCTCCATTCCCACCCTACTCTGGGGCCAGCCAGAGGTGGTATTTGCTGGTTCTCCAAACTACTCAAAATTTCTGCTACCAGTTTTCCAGAACCTGCTGAATTTCACCCCTGGGATGCAGTCTTACCTCCTAAAATGCTTTGATTTTGGGGTGGTGTAATAGGTTAATAAACTGGAGATATTTATGAAGATTGGAACACAGGGAAAAAGTTGAACTTCCATGGTTCTAACTCTTAAAATCATACACAAGCTTTATAAAAAAATAAGTTGGCAAGGTGGCGCAGTGGTTACAATGCAGTACTGCAGGCTAATTCTGTTGACTGCCGGCTGCCGGCAGTTCAAGTTTCACCTGCTCAAGGATGACTCATCCTTCCGTCCTTCTGAGGTTGGTAAAATGAGGACCCAGATTGTTGGGGGCAATATGCTGACTCTGTAAACGGCTTAGGGAGGGATATAAAGCACTGTGAATATAAGTTTAAGTGCTATTGCTATCAATTATAAAAAATATGAACCAAGTGTTTTGTCTCTTAAGCTATCTTTTCAGGGAATGCTCAAGGAGATCAACAATGACAGGACAGATGAAATCCAAATTCAGACTATATTAAAGAGTGTTAGCAAAAATTAGAGCTGCTAAAAAATTGAAACAAAAATTATCCCCAGAATGCCCTCAAAACAGGCCTTTGCTTTTGAGAAGACACAAGTGAAAAGGGAATGTATTCATTATCGTATCCATTCTGAAAGCAGACCATCAAAGCCGACGCCAGCCAGAGCATAGCAAAACTCTAAGTCAGAGGTCTTCGAACTTGGCCACTTTTAAGACTTGTGGAAGTCCACAAGTCTTAAAGCGGCCAAGTTCGAAGACCTCTGCTCTAAGTAGTAGTAAAAGATTGGAAGATGTGGAGAGACCTGGCCCACAGAATCGCCAAGAGTCGGTCACAGCTGAATGGATAACCTCACCCATCAACTTCATTATCTGAAGGCGATTCGATTCAGATCACACATTTTTGCTCCAATTTTTATGCAATGTTGTTACTAGAGTTCTAGTGTGATTACCTTTCACTGTTTCATCTGCCATTTCTATGGAGGAAAACAGTTTCCTTGGTTCAAAGGTTACGCTGAATTCATTTCTAGGCAGCCTTTCGGTGTGTTTTGAGCGCTTCCTATTGAAATCAGCTGACCATTCTAAGGAAAAAAATCCATATTCAGCAGTTAGTGGGAAGTTTCACCAGTTTAGACTTTTACCGTTTTAAGTGTCACTGAAATTTTGATGGGACTTGCAATTCAAACCAAGCTTTGTTCGCATCATTTGGACCCATACAGCTTGCCTTTTCAAATATGGATAATTAAACTGTCCAGGCCACAAAAGTACAGCAGGAGAGAAAGCAGAGAAGATTGATACCATCCTTCTCCTTAAAAACTAAAAAAATTGGTGTCAAGATTGCTATTTTTCTTTCAGCTTTATCCAATTTTCCTTTACTAGCACTTATTTTACCTGAAAATTTCCTCTTAGAGTTGGAGATTTTATCTTCCAGGAGTAGAGTACTAGCTGCAGCTTCATATTTCTAGAAAGCATTAAAAAAACAGAAGAAAAGAAGAAAAATATCTGAATTGCAATACTTTTCAAACAGATTCTAATATTATAATGGATCAATGCAATGGGAATAATCTGGTGTTTTATTGTTACATAAATACAAATAAACAAAATGCAGTTTATATTTCATGCATTCCATCTGGTACACATGTATACATGTGTTTCCAAAATTTATACCTTGCTTGTTGTAGCATCTAATGGATAGGGTGAAGAACTGCTGCTTAACGGGAAAGTGGCATCCATCATTTCTAAGCCATCTAAAAAAAAAGAAAAAAGAAAGATAATAATAGTACTTTAAAATGGAGTCTATGGAGATTATCAGTCATCCAGGTCATGGTTATCCCAAAGATGCTTTTTCAAAAAGCAACTGGACTTTCTTGTTTTTCTTTGAAGTTGTTTCACTTCTTATTCAAGAAACTTCTTCAGCTCTGAGCTGAAAAACAAAAAGTCCATTTGCCTCTTGAAAAAGCACCTTTGGGACTATTTTAAAATAATTATTTATTTGTATCCTGCCTTTATCATTTTACATCTTATTTTTCTGCAACTAATGATTAAAATATGTGTGTAAAAGCAATACTAACAATCATAATGCATACACCTGAAACAATCATACTAAAGACCTCAAAGGAAAATCCAGCTTCATCTTACATCCACATTTTATTTTTTGTTTGTCAAGAGATATTTTCCTAATGATCGGGGGGGGGGGAATCTATTCCTAGATGAAAAGCATGAGACAAACTAAGGATTAGACAACATTCTGAATGGCTTGGAACCGGCTTAGAATGCATACGATGGGGGTCCCCAAGTATGCATCTCTTACCAAATTTAATCTAAATTTAGCTTTTAATGTTCTACATCGATCCGTTAAATATTAGTCCTTAATCTAAATTCAGCTTTGAGGAAGATGAAAATAACCATTTTCCACGTCATGGGTTGGGGGTGGGTGGGTGCTGGGTACACCTTGTTCAGTATCATTATTTGGAGTGTGGCATTAAGAGCCTTGTGGGAAATTGAACAGCTCCCCAAAGTCAGATTTTCTTGCAGTGTTAGCACTTGGTAGTGCAACAGGTAACTGCTGGTGCCAAACTCCATAGATGGATAACAGCAAACATCCCGTTTTTCACTTATAGCTACCACTGTACAGACTTTATCTAATAAATTCCTCCAACATCCCATCCCAAAATGCAGTATTTCATGACCTTGCATTTTAATCTTTTGGAGAAATAATTCAGACCTTTTTATTATATAGAGAACTGAAGGTCCAAGGATCAAGTCCCTCCTATTGGCTAGGGCAGGGGACGGGCATGTGTACATGCATGGGATCCAGGCAGTGTGCAAAACCATGCCCCCCTCTCAGTCCACACACACACACACAAAAAACACCCTCCACAGACCCAGTCCTTGGTGCCCAAAAGCTTGGGGGCCACTGAGCTAGGGAATCACGAACAACGAGGCAGCTACTCATTCTATCTCCCAAAAAGAGCATCATGCCGAGAAGACAGCCCTAGCTACATCCTGAACCAGAAATGTAGTTACATATGGAAAACTATACAAGTAGTCCTTGACTTATGACCATAATTGAGCCCAAAATTTATGTTGCTAAGTGAGACATTTGTTAAGTGAGTTTTGCCCCATTTTACAACCTTTCTTGACATGGTTGTTAAGTGAATCACTGCAGCTGTTAAGTTAGTAATACAGTTGTTAAGTGAATTGGGTTTTCCCATTGACTTTGCTTGTCAGAAGTTTACAAAAGGTTATGATATGGTCCCAGGATATTGAAAATGTTATAAATATGAGTTAGTTGCCAAGCATCCAAATTTTGATCATGTGACTATGGGGATGCTGCAAGGGTCGTAAGTGTGAAAAAAGGTTGTAAGTGTGAAAACATAGGTCATTTGTTTCAGTGCTGTTGTAATTTTAAATTATCACTAAATGAACTGTTGTAAGTCAAGGACTAGCTGTACTGAATGCCTGAGTCCATAAGGTGGAAATCTAGAGTTCTCAAACTTCATCTTCCAGAAGCCTTCTACATCTTCATACCTTGGCTCTTCCTCCTATTTTGGGGTAGTGGCTTGGTCATTCCTAATACCACCACCTATCATTCAAGGTTCACCTCATTTCTTTAATGTGTAAAAAAAAATCCTCACAACCAGGGCTGTAGTTCTGATGATTAAAGGGTTAATATATAATGGTTTAAATAATTTCTATAATGTGGGCCACAGTGTATGTAGGATTATGACTAGAGGATGACGATTTCCTTTAGAGACATATCATTCCCACAAGTAACAAACAAAATCAAGCTTTATTTTTTAAAAATGTAAACACTCCTTTCAATTTTAAATGTTACAATACAGACATTCAAAATTGAAGAGGTTTCAAACAGCTCAGATTGTGGGACAATTTAAAACTTTAAAAGAAAATGACATACTCCTGGCAGCCCACAAGATGGCAATGGTCTGCTACAAAAGTTGCTCCATCTCTTCACAAAGAGATAATGGAGAGCATTCCAAATCCTGTTACGTAACACAGGTTTCTAAAATAATAAAATTACAAGTTCACACAGTCTGAGACAATAGTGAAAGGAGCAGAGTTCTGAATTGCCAGTTACAATATAAATATGCCCACACCACTAGAATATGAGATAAAGTTTTAGATTCAAACATAACTCAAACGACATTGGACGGAGGCACATACTTTGTCTAATATGTGAATTAGGAGTTGAACAAACAAGAACTGGACAATGGGTTGTATGGTGATGCATCTCTGATACTGGCTTTGTTCTTCTCTGTATCTTGTCCCTAGACACTGTTGAATTTTCCACCTAGAGAAGAAACTGAAAGCATCAAATCAAACACCTAGCAACAGACATAGCATACACCTAGCATACAAGTTGTTTCACTTACTGCAGCTATATACAGTAGTCCTTGGGTTACAACCATTAATTCAACTGTTCAAAGTCATAATGGTGCTAAACAAGGGGAACTTACAATGGTCCTCAGTGTTCCAGCCATTGGAACATTCCCTGCAGTCACTTAATCATAAGCTGGACATGTGGCACCCAATGTGCGATTATGACACTGCAGCAAGTCACAAATAACCATGATTTCCTATATTCCCTGCCAATTTCCCACAAGCAAAATCAATAGGGCAGCTAGCAAGAAGCTGGAACTCACAATTGAGTGAGGTTCTTGATTAAATTATGGCAATTAGGACTCTGCCGGAATTGCCATCATTAAGTGATGTGGTCACAATGTGACATTACAATTGTGTTGTTTAGCAACAGTTCCCAATCCCATTTGTTGTTTTAATCTGAAGAGTACCTGCACTGATCAAAAAGTTCAACAACCTGAAAAAAATTCTAGTTATTTTATTCTGCAGTAGAATTTTAATAATATTTCATTTAATGACTCTTAATATCATGCGTGGATCATACTACTACTAAGATGAAAGTACATGTTAGCTAAATTTGTTGTTGCTAGGAGTACTGAGGAACATGAAATCTAACCCCCTTTGTTTATAACAAAATCTGGTAAAAACCACTGATAAGATTTAAAGTCTTGGCTTTGCCTGAATATGCCGAAGAATAAAATTGAAATGAAGATGAATGAATTACTACATTTGTTTGTTTTTAATATTGTCTGGAATGAAGATTGGAGGTTAAGAGCATCAAATAATCCAAATGTAGAAACACTACAAAGTTCTACAATCAAGAGATTGTAGATAATGTAAAATCTACGAGAAAAAAACAATATTGACATAAAAAACCTTTAAAAAAACTAGGACCAAAAAAAAAAAATCAATCCAATCCTGCTATAAAAGAACTTGTAGAATTGAATAAAGATGCCTCTTGAAAAAATCTACTAGAATGGCTGTATGTCATTCATAGCTTGTTTGATTCCAGATGTATACATAAGTGAAAGGATCCCAAGACTGAACAGGGACTCTTCCTTGACAGGCATTTTTGCCTCTGGCTTCACAAATTAAGGTTGGAGGTTGGGACTGGTATAAATTATTACAAATTTAAAGGACTATTATATCAGAAATTATGTGTTACATTTCCTGTTCTATTTCCAACCTTTGTTACAGGCCAAGATTGCCAAAAAGATAAAGTATCTTTATTATAGTGACATTACTACTAGATCAATTATCTCTGTTTTCTCCATTCCGTCCTATGTATATATATTAAAAAGTCTAGTGTTATTGGCAATATAGCTACATTCTTGAAGCAAATGACAGCCTACTGGAATATTAATTCAATAGAAGAAATAAGGCACCAAAACAGTTTCCTTATACTTGGCTCTTCTTACTTAACCAAAGCATCATGTGAATCTTAAAGTAGTTCGTTTTTTTAAAAAATTGGAAGATATCTACAATAATGCAGTTGTCGATCCTTTCTTTATATTCATAGAAATTCTAACATCACACAAGGAGAGTGTAAGGACAGGGCAATGTAAAAAAAAAAAAAGAGCAAAGATATTAGGCCAGCTAGAATTCTATATATTCTATACATCTGGCAGCCATATCCATCAAAAGAAGGGAAGGGAAGGGAAGGGAAGGGAAGGGAAGGGAAGGGAAGGGAAGGAAAGGAAAGGAAAGGAAAGGAAAGGAAAGGAAAGGAAAGGAAAGGAAAGGAAAGAAGGAAAGGAAAGGAAAAATATCACAATTCCAGTTTTCCTTACTTTCTTTGCACCATAATCACTGTCACTGCTTGGAGAAGACAAGGGCAATACTGTGAGAGGAAAGATAAATGAAAGTTTGCAATTATGAGCAGAGATAATACAGATATACCACCTACTACTTCCAACAAGTTGGAAGTAATATGCAATATGCAAACTTAGAAATCATTAATATGATACTGAACACTGCCAAGTCTATAAACCGGCACACCTGCATACACACACACACACACACACTTGTAACAATGCTGCAAGCCTAAGTCTGGGCTAAAAAGAATGATGACCCCTAATGTTTCCTTCAGAAGTTCTAGTTTAATTTTATCTACCGTTACTTGGAAACAAGTTGCACTGAGCTAATTACTTCTAGCAACATTTTAAACCAATAACTAGTTTCCAATCATTGTTTTTACCTTTTAGCTTGCTTTTGACTTTTGTTTTTTTCCGAGTGTAATCTGCCACTTTGGGCAATGTGTTGCTCTGCGAGTTACGAATCCAGCTTTTTTCACTCATACCATTGCTCAGAGAATCTGAGTTACTTTCAGAAAAGAGATGAGTCTTGTAGTTAGCAGGCTGGGAAAACATGCAAGCAACAGTCAGTGCCACCTGAAAGGTAACTGCCATTACAAAGTTTCATTCCAGAAGCATCTAAATGGCTCACTTTAAAAATCAACATTACTGAGCTAACCTTTAAGGGTCAAGTGTACCTATTTTGTTTTGGAATCACATTTCTCCACTAGTGGGAAAACTAAAATGTCTAAAATGTTTAGGAAACCCTTTTTCAATATTGGGCAGAAACTGAATGTTCAAGGCATCAAAACAATAGAACATACACAACGCTCCTAAGGCAGATAGGAGACCCTGCCCTGGTCTTAAAAATGGCAACAATCAGCAGAGAATCTATGGAGATTCTCAATCATCCAGGTCATGGTTGTCCCAAAGGTGTTTTTTTAAAGAAGCAACTGGACTTTCTGGTTTTTCTTTGAGGATGTTTTGCTTCTCATCCAAGAAGCTTTTCAGCTCTGATTGGATGGTGGGGAATGAGGTTGGAAGGGGGTGTTTTTACTTCCCCACCATCCAGTCAGAGTGGAAGAAGCTTCTTGGATGAGAAGCAAAGCGTCTTCAAAGAAAAACCAGAAAGTCCAGTTGCCTCTTGAAAAAGCACCTTTGGGACAATCAGCAGATATCATTGGGCAAAGCAAGGATGTCAATGAAGTCCTTGAAGCAGGACCTTCAATCATATCACAACTTCAGATGAAAAGCCCTTGCCTAAATCCCAAACAACACTGAGAGAGGCAAGTCTTTAATGAACAAAAGGATCTTTGCATTCCTTGTTTCATTCCTTGAATTCCTTACATCAGACTTACGTCAATCTTCTTGGGCACAGGACCTCTCAGGTATTATCCTGGTCATAATTCTCAGAATTTGGAATCTATTGAGATATCACAACTCATAGATTTTTGGGGGCATGCAGACTGACTAAAACAGGGGTGTCAAACTCAAGGCCCGCAGGCCGGATCTGGCCCATGGGGTGCTTAGATCCGGCCCACGGGGCTGGCCAGGAAACAGCAAAGGACTGGCCCGCAGTGCCTCTGGCAGTGAAAACGGAGCTCAGAGCGGCTACGCGTGCCCCCTCAGGCTCCGTTTTCGCTGGCAGAGGGCTAGCAAAACAAACTAAAAACAAAACAAAAGGAGAAATGTTTTCCCTTTTGCATTTGAGCATGCAAGAAGGGACAGGAAAGGAGAAAGGGAAAGAGGAAAGAAAGAAAAAGATGGGAAGATGGGAAGAGAGCAAGGAAGGAAAAATAAAAAAAAGGGGAAGGAAGAAGAAAGGAGAATGAAGAGTGAAAGAAAAAGAAGAAAAGGAAGGAAGAAAGGAAAGGAGATTATAATAAAAGTGAGGGAGGGTCACAGGGAAGTCCTGCCTTAGCACTTGCCACCACAGGTGCCTCCGACATGAGTGATGTCGAGCTGGCTACACCCATCATTGCCACAAGCCCCCGGCCATCCCCCACCCCTGGCCCTCCGAGGTCAAACACAACCCTGATGTGGCCCTCAATGAAATTGAGTTTGACACCTCTGGACTACAAGAATTATGAAAAAATATTAAAGTAAGGGGGAAAAAACCTGATTAATAACAATAGAGTTTTGATATGTGTTATTTGATTTGAATTTTTTCCCCCCAAGAAAGAAGAAATGAAAAAATCTTTCTAACCCTATGGATCTTGAGATAATGGGTGTTGCAACATGATTTTTCTGGCAGGTACAATGTTGGTTTGATCTGATCAAGGCAGTACAAAAGACAGGCAGAGAAGAAGGCTACACATTGAAGTTTTTATCTCTTGGTGAAGAAAGCGCTGTCACGTTCTTTATGGTAGAATTCAATGTCTACAAGCCTTAATTTGATTGGATAACAAATCTGGAAGTTTCTTTGTGATTTCAGAAATCTTCAGAGTTGAGGGTCATTTCAGGGAAGGGAGGAGACAGAGCAGGAATTATAGAATGGTTTTCATGTCTATTCTCAAATCTATTCTAGAGTAATTCTATGTGCTAGCACAGATATGGTAGGTAATATAGAATGATAAAGGAAGAGTAGAATCTTCCCCATTCTGGCATCCTCTAGATCTGTTTGGATTGATTACCAAAGTTGCTATATTGGAATTCTGAAAGCTGTACAGCCATTCCTTTTTAGTACCTGCCTTGTTTAGTGACTGCAAATACAACAGCATTTTTTTTTTTAAAAATATATTTTTTTACCAATGCACTCATGATCAAATATCATGCGCTTGGCAACAATGCAAGCCAGGGTGAAAGTAACATTGGCATAGTTGCACAAGAGAACTTTAGCTGAATGCAACACCCAGAGATCTTTGTGCTCTCTCTCTCTCTCTCTCTCTTTCTCTCTCTCTCTCTCTCTCTCTCTCCCCCTCCCTCCCTCCCTCCCTCTCTCTCTCTCCCCCTCCCTCCCTCTCTCTCTCTCTTTCTCTCTCTCTCTCTCTCGCTCTCTCTCGCTCTCTCTCTCACACACACACACACACACAGTTTGTTTAGCAACCATTTTCACTTCCGATTTAAGGAACAGATTGTGGTCACTAAATGAGGAAAGGTATACTTCCAATTCATCAGGAGGACTAGATTGGGGGAGATTGAAACTTTCCTTCCCAAGTGCATCCCTGGCATCTCTCCTTCAAACGGATTAGTTTCATTCCAGTTTCAGTTAAATAGTAGCTATTCTTTAAAAACAAAACAAAGCACCTAAACTGGCCCAGACATAAGAAAGACAGAGTATTAGAAGTTCATAGATGGTGAGAGATGACCGATCTCTCATTTCATGCACTGCTCAAGAAGCAGGTAATATGTTAGGGTGGCAGAACTAATTGAATGTCTTAAAAATTCAGGAAAAATGCATTTAGCACTTACTAAATGAACTCACAATACCCTGAAAACACAAATATTTGAGTGTCTGAAGTGCCTATAAACCATAATATAGGCTATAATAAATATGAAAACTGGACATTACCAGACTTCTCTCAAACTTGTTCAGTTTCACATTTCCTTCTTCCAAACTCCTGCATGCAATATAAGACAATGAATGAAGGAGACAGCGTCCGCAGAAAAAACATTTAGCATTATTCTGCAAAATCCTACAGGTCAGTAAATGAAGACTGTGTTTTCTAAACTCCTCTGGTTATATTCTCCACCTGTACCTTTCTGCTAAATGTGGTTTATGTTGGAATTACCGGTAATATGTCCTACTTGAACATAATGCAGCCAAGAAGAACTCAAAAGCCCAAATGCTCAAAAAATTAGAGTCCCAAGGTTATTCTCCCAGAACACTGTGTGTAAGAAAGACCTCCAAGACAAGATCTCCACAGATATTCTAACCCAGTAACTCTTAAGAGGCCTCTAAAATTCTAATAGGGTGGGAACCATATGAAACTCCAGGAGAGAGAATTATCTAAATGTATTAAAAAGAATGTCTAATGTTTTCATAACAGATATCCCTTCCTTCCTTCCTTCCTTCCTTCCTTCCTTCCTTCCTTCCTTCCTTCCTTCATTCCTTCCTTCCTTCCTTCCTTCCTTCCCTTCCCTTCCCTTCCCTTCCCTTCCCTTCCCTTCCCTTCCCGTCTTCCTACCTTCCTTCCAGAGGTGGTATTTAGCATGTTCTGACCAGTTCTGGAAAACCAGTAGTGGAAATTTTGAGTAGTTGGGAGAACCAGTAAATACCACCTCTGACTGGCCCCGCTCCCATCTATTCTCTGCCTCCAAAGTCCCAGCTGATCAGGAGGAAATGGGGATTTTGCAGTAACCTTCTCCTGGACTGGGGAGGGAATGGAGACTTTACAATATCCTTCCCCTGCCATGCCCACCAAGCCATACCACACCCATCAAGCCACACCCACCGAACTGGCAGTAAAAAAATTTGATTCCCACTACTGCTTCCTTCCTTCCTCAACCATTCAGAGTTATAACACTCATGAAAAAATAACTCTATGGCCAATCCTCTTAATTATGAGCTTTGCAGGTCTGTAAAGCAAAGGAAAGCTGAATTAAATTAATAAGCTTAGCTGCTGTTTCACTTAGCAATTGCTTTGCTGAACAACTGAGTTGCAATCTCAATTGTGGTCCCTTAAACAATGACTACCTGCATCATACTTTTTCTTTGACTTTTCACATTGGCTACCTAATGCTTGTTATAATTCTATACCAATAGCATGACAAAAAGTTCTCATACTTGTGCAAAGTGTTCTTCTGGACAAATATTTTTTGCTTCATTTCAGAGACCTGAAAAACAAATGAAAAGGAATTTAAAAAAATAAGGAAATAGAAAAACGGGACAATGATTTTAAGGCAAAACAGGAATAATATTGTTCCTTAAATACTAAGCCTTTGATCTTTGCAAACAACTAGCTAAACTGGTTTTAATCCAGATAAATTAGCAAATAAATCATGCTTGCTTCTGCATATATGTTGGTGGGATTTGTTCTCAACAATTCCAAAGATCTTCTTACCAAGATATAATTCATGTCTTGTCACAAATAATTAATTAATTAATTAATATTTTCCAAAGCTGTGGAAATAAAGCTGGTAAATCACAACATTTTGAACCTAAGTACTGTATATTGTTAAATAGGTATGAAATTAGGCATTTATGTAGATTCCTGATACAGTCTTAGGTGAACCTTCATCCTGCAAAGAATGAGATATTTACTAAGTTATGACAGAACTTGATTATGAACTCTTCTCAAATTTACTACTGGTAATGAATTATTTATGCCGCACTGGGAAAATAAATAAAAAGGAACTGAATTTAAGATGACTGAAACCATTAACAATGACTAGAAATATGGGGATAGAGGAGATGAAGGACACAACTAATATTGTTTCTGGATATTCTTCTGAAGAAATTTTATCTGGGATTGTTGAAGAGTCCACAGCAACCTGATAGAATGTAAGCCATCAATCCATCAATCAATTTGCCTGTAAACACTCCCCACTGAAATAATGGTTTAATTACATCTTTACCATATCATGTGTGCTTGAACCAGATGAAAAGTGAAATTCATATTCATCCATCCTAAAAAAAATAAATGCCTTGTATAAGTCACTGATTATTTTCCAATGCAATTTCAAAGTTAATGGAATATACATACATACATACATACATACATACATACATACATACATACAAAGGGCACTATGAGTATAGAGGATCAGGCTTTCTCAAAAACAAAACACTCCCAGAAGTGCACAGAAAAACTGACTGTGCCTCTATGACAAGAGTGCTTCAACCTTTTTCAGACTTAAGTTGAATGATTCAGTGGAAGGTCTATTAAAGAATAGACTGTAGACTGGTCCATGATAATATAGTCAATAGACTGGCTGTCAACATCCGAGATGGCGACATCACAGCTACGCCCTGCACATTGCTTCAAAGTTGCCAGAGTGAGAAGGGGGAAGAAGGTCAGTTGGGGTGCACTACTGGGTGTCGAGTGATGGGCACACAGAGGGGGGGGCAGACAGACTTGGAGGGGGCCCGGAAGAATGAAGCAGCAATGGCCGGAGAGTCTTTGCTGGAGCAGGCCTGGAGCAACCCATCAGGGTGGGAGCTCTCATAATCAGCTGGCCGCTGGAAGCTGGTAATGCTGGCTAGATTCCCATTTCACTGCATGCCAAGTAGAGAGACCAGTAAAGGGGAATTGCTCTACCAATGGTGTGGCCTCATTTCTTACTGGCTAGGCTCGGAACTGTGACACTGGCACAAACAACTTTAACTAAATTAGATTTGATAAGTTACTACTCATATATTTCATACTTCCTCTCTTTGTCAGATACCAGTGGCCGTTTTGAAAAGGTCTGGAGGCTGTAAAATGTGGACTGCTGTTTTAAGATAGGATTTCTAGTAGCTTTCCATCTGATCATTCAAGAGCTGCATTATGATACTGACTCAACTAAAGTGTTCTTGTGACACTAATGATAATAAAAGCCTCTTACATATCAGTTCTGTGTATTTTTAACAGGAGTGAAAGTTCACCCTCGCTAAACTATAAATACATTATTTCCTCTGATACTGTGATGGAAATCTTAGGCTTAATGTAAGCTACTGTGACTTCATATGTTTCTGTGTGTCCATTTAAAAGAACTTTAAAAACAGTTTCTTACTTTGCTTCCACCATTTGCTTACTTGAACCTCTTGCTCTTTTTTTCTTCTCTAGGATATCACCCTGGAACAGAAAGACAGAGCCACGGGTTTACAATTTCCAAAATATTTATTTTGCTTCAAAAAGTTTTGGACAAAAATAAACAGTTCATGCACTTGTTGGAAAATGCTAGGAAGAAGGGAACAAAAACAAACAAACAAACAAACAAACAAACAAACAGGCCCTGGAGATACCATTAAGCTGTTTATATCATAGCAGCAAAAGCAGTTTCTTGCAGAATCAGTTCAACTTTTGCAAAGGGAAAAAACAACAGCGACGAATTGCCAGGATCTCACCTTGTGGCTTCTTTTTATTGGCACTATCATTTCCTCCTTATTTTACTATCTAATCTGTGGAATCCTTGGTGTCTCTGAGCTTGTTTGCGTGCAGGCATTTAATTACCCAACTTGTTAACATCATCGGTGCAAGTGAGTGCTGGGTTTATATCCTATAGCTTGCCCTGCCAATTTTGGTTTTTTTTTCCTTGATCGTTTTTTGATTAGGATATTGTTTTCTGCCTGTTTGCCTTGTGTTAATCCCTGCTTAATCCCTGCTTATTTGGGTGTTGGCTGCTGGGGAGGATATTTTTATTGGTGGCAAACCTGACATTCACTCACACTGATGATGTTACCTAGTTGGGTAGGTAGAAACATCTGCAAGCAAACAACAAATCTCAGAGAATTACAAGGATTCCACAATTCATATATTGCGGAGCTACAATATATTTCTCTTTTACTGGAGCTACCTAAACTAGCATCCAGTTCACCAGTGATCCTTCATTTGTTGCAAATTTCCACCTTTGTTCTTGCCATTCCTTTTGCCACTTCAGTCTGGTAGTAATGGGGTTCAGGTATTTATAAATGTTGATTTACAAGACAAGCATTTCTGTTAACCTACAAAGCCCAAGCCTAAGTTTTAATCAACTTTATTTTCCCATTAAATAATTATCATTTAAAATCAGTAATAAAAACAAAAAGCAAAGAAAGCAAATTTCTTTCCCCAAAGCAACCATGCTAAATTCACTCTTTCTCAACATTGTGACCTCTTCGTGTGTGTTGGGTATGAATTCCTACAATGGTTAATTGAAAATTACAGGAGCTGACTTCCAACACATCAGGAAAGCACCAGGATAAAAAGGGCATTGTTGCTAGGTACAACATACTGTACCTCTAAAGGGTGGGTTTCCTTAAGGTGGATATCAGCTTCTCCTTCCACATCTGGTTCACTACATGCCAGAAAAAATAACAGAATAAAAGAAATTCTTTAGCCTCAAGACTCTACAACGACTACATCAGCCTAAATTTAAAGTGTTAAAATTGTTTATATTATCAATTTAAAAATGCATCCATTTAAAAAATAATAAATTCAACCGCATTTTCTAGAAATGTACTGTGGCAGAGAATATTTGACACTATTTCAAATAATGTATCGTTCTGATTTGAGACATTTTAGCAGTACAAAAAGGGTGACATTGGCAGATCTCACTGAAATATAGGAAGTCCTCCAGTTAAAACCTTAATGGAATTTGCCTATCACTGTTTTAATGGAAAATTATAGGGGCTATAAACCTTTGTAAGACATTACCTTTGTTGCAGCAGTCCTTAAGCAAATACTGCAGTCCAATAGTTCAGTATGGGTGCAGTTTTGCCACAAAACTAGAATAAATGCTGATTTATGACAAAATTGTCATAAAACATGTTCATGTGACTGCAGGAGGGGGCACTGACCAACAGAACTTCAAATTTGGGTCATATCCTGCATATCCTGCAAGTAGGTCCATCAGAACTTTGAACAGTTGCTAAGTGACTGGTCATAAGTTGAGGATTAACTGTAATAATTTCAAGTGTGTCCAAAAACATCTTTCCAGTTTGAATTTGCCTGACATAGAAAAACTTCCTTGTAATTACTACATTATCAGCTACATCTTGTACTATATTTTATTGTAGGTCAGTATTTAATTAGCAGATACGAAGAAACAAATTTACTAGGGCTGTGAACTGCTTTGGAGTCTGTGGAAATGCAAACAGCACCGATGAGCAATACCATAAAGCCACTGGTCTAAGGAGCAACTGAAAGGTGTTGTGTTTACAGCCCTCTGCACTTGGGACATTTTTATGTCTTCAAATCCAAAGCAGTGTATAGCTTTGAGATAGAATGACTGATTGATAGGGGATTTATATACTGTATATTTGAGTAGGGATTCAAGCCAGCTCTCAACTAACATGCATAAATATTATACTGTAGCAGTTCCATTGATAAGTGATCATAAAAGGCAGGGAGAGGAACTGTAGGAAAAAACATTCCTTGTTCTAAAGTCCTCTGTGTGTCACTGGACAGTCTACTCTAGGATATTGGGACACATACAATGGACATGTTTAAGCATTTCTCGTCTAGTGCACCATTCCGGTCACGGGCAGTGAAAACGTTTACGGATATCCTCCAGTATTCACAGTGTCTACCTATTGAGAAACATGTTCAGGTGTAAAGATCAATCTGTAAAGCAGTTAATATGTGGCTCTCCTAAGTATGCTGGAGTACAACTTTCCTAACCACTGTCATGCATGTGGTAGAAATTAGTGGAAAATATAGTCCCTTAAATCCACAAATTGCCCAGTCTTAATTTAAGATGCAATTATATCTACTACATTTGGAGAACTTCCAAAAAGAGAGATGGTCTCAAATAAACACGGTATTATGGTAAAAATATGTTATTTACAAATATTACATTTCTCCATAGATCTCTTTTCAAAGAAGTTTGTGCAGCTAGAACACTTACTCAGCCTTATCCTTTGGTTGTAGCCGAGAAGGTTTCAACTTCTGTGCGGATGGAAGAGCAGCCAATGTATTTAATGAAGATGATGGAGAAACCAAAGATCTACTGCTGGAGGCTTTTAAGGAGTAAAAAAAAAAGACACAGCTGCATCTTTCTGGGTAAAAATAACCAGAGATTTTACAAGCATTTATTTTTATGTCCAACATGACTCAACAGGCTTCCTCCCATTATTTTAAAACAAATCTCTTTGGCTTTAATGTGATTAAGAATGTAAGTCTTGTGACGTAAGAATCACATGAAAGAACAGGAAGGCTGCTCTGACCTTGGAAGCCATCTTTGTTTTCCAGTTGCTGGCTCTCTTTCTCTCCATCGACCACAGTTGCTGCTGGAATAGTTATTTTCTTCTAGATAAGGGGATAATCAATACCATTCATATTATTAATGCCATTAACCCAGGGAGTTTTAAAAAATCTTAACTGGGGAGAAATAGTTCTTAAAAACCAAAAAGTGCAGGTGTTCTTTTCCAGTTCTATAGTAGATAACAGAATAATCAACCTGTTATTTTCCTGCTCAGTGGGAAATACCGTATTTTTCAGACTATAAGACACACTTTTTCCCTCCTAAAAGAGGCTGAAAATTTGGGTGCATCTTATACTCCAAATGTAGCTTTTTTGAAGCTTTTTTTCAGTCCTAACAAGGCGCTAACGAGTGAAGCGATCTCCATTGTTTGACTGCTTTTCTCATTGCTTCTCTCTCCAAAGATCAATTGTGCTTTAGAAACTGTTTTTTATCCCCAAGCAGGGGATAAAAACCAGCAAACTAATGTGCTGAAGCTGACCAGACTAAGGACGCTAGCCAGATGAATACCTGGTAGGCAGATTTCCCCCCCCTATTTTCTTCCCCAAAAACTAAGCTGCGTCTTACACTCCGATGCGTCTTATACTCCAAAAAATACAGTAAATAATTGTCCAATCAATAATTGTCCGATCATCAAGTGCTATATACCTTGGTCTTTTTTTCCATTTGGGCCGTCCCAAAAAAGTATTTGTAAATTGACCGTTCACTAAACATATGGTGGGGCTAATATTCATTCTGAATTTCTTGAACAATTCCTTCTAAGATAAATGAAACTGATTGGATAAATTTTATGTTTGTTAGTCTGTCCCTAGATTTAATGGGAAATTTTGGAATGCATTATCAATATTAGAGGACCTCAAGATTTATGTCTATGTCTATTGCTGTGCAATATTTCTGTTACAGTTCTTCTTCTTTCCTCTTATTTTATTCCTACATCATTAAACTTGACTGGAGTGGTGCAGTGGCCTAGAAGTGGAACTCTTGCCTCACAATCAGGAGGCTGTGAGTTGAATTCTAGGTAGAGGCAGATATTTCTCTCTCTGGGCACATTGAGAATATATCTGTTGAACAAAACTCCGCATTGGCAACAGGAAGGGCATCCGGCCATTAAAACACTCTGCTAGCTCCATTCAGTTGCCCAGACTCCATTCCGCAAGGGATCATGGAGTCGTTAAATGAAGATGATGATCATTAAACTTGACTGCTAACTTAGCAGCCTTATAGTGATGGTCGTTCTTCTCTCAATAGCAGGCTGATGAGGCTGGAGATTTGGGAGAATTGCTTTTCTTTTTTTTATTCGTCATTTGCAACAAAGCACAGGACAGACCTTGGCAATCATAATTCATCCAAGTTTTTCTAAGCTGCAAATATACTTACTATTACAGGAGTAACGGACTCATTGCTTTGGTGCGATGTCAGAATATCTGATAAAGAATCTATTTCTGCATGATCTTCTTTTCTCTCCAGCTGAATATTTCCTGTAATAAAGCAATATTATTTACTATTGCCATATCTTAAAAATATTCAAGGGCAAGAAACAATGTAAAATGGTCAACAGGAAAGCTTATCCAAATCAACTACTATAGACCAGCCTTCTCCAATCTAGAGATGTCTAGATTTTTGGAACTGCAACTCACTGACTTCACAGCCCACATGTGTTCCAGGGCAGTACAGGTAGTCCTTGATTTACAACAGTTCATTTAGTGACCATTCAAAGTTACAGAAGCGCTGAAAAAAGTGACTTATGACACTTTTCATGTTTCACAGTTATAGCATCCCGATGATCATATGATCAAAATTCAGATGCTTGGCAACTGGTTCATACTTATGATCGTTACAGCATCTCAGGGTCATGTGATTACCTTTTTGTCACCTTCTGGCAAGCAAAGTCAATGGGGAAGCCAGATTCACTTAACAATCAGGTTACTAACTTATCAATGGCACTGATTCACTTAACAACTGTGGCAAGAAATGTGGTGAAATGGGACAAAAACTTAACAAATCCTCACTTAATAACATAAATGTTGAGCTTGATTGTGGTCGTAAGTCGAGGACTGCCTATAGTTTCTAATGAATCCTTTGATATTTATCGGGGTTCCCTAATTTTCTCAAAAAGGTAGGCCTGACCACTAATAAGATATCTCATAATGATGCAGATACAGAGAAGTGATATACCCTTCACCATTTTCATCACCCTTCACAAGATCGTCTTGCAAATAACTATCTCCTCTATTTATAGAGACTTTCTAAACATCTGTCATATAAGACAGAGCAGAATTGTTCTTCGTTGCCCCGACACCAGGAATTGAATCAGCACATAAAAATCACAAGGAGGACATTTTCAGTTAAATATCAGAACTACCGTATTTTTCGGAGTATAAGACGCTCCAAACTATAAGATGCACCTACCTTTTTTGGGGAGGAAAACAGGAAAAAAAAATTTTGACTGCCTCCCAGCAATTTGCCTCATTGCAGCAAACAGCAAACAGCTTGCTTTAGTTTCATTTCATTTTTAGCACAGTCTGATTAGCACAAGAAAAAAAAAGTCTGCCTCCCAGCAATTTTCCTCCTTGCAGCAAACAGCGGAGGCCTGCGGAGCAATAGGCAATGGCAATCCCTGCAGCCTGAAATAGCTAAGGGTCAGGAGGCCAATCCAACCGACAATCAGCTGCTTGTGCTAATCAGGCTGTGCTGAAGCTGAAACGGGCTGTTTTCTGCTTGCTGCAAGGAGGTAAATTGCTGGGAGGCAGAGGCCAAAGGTTTGAGGCCAGCAGGTAGGCGGGGCTACATTCGGTGTATAAGACACACCCAAATTTTCACCCTCTTTTAGGGCGGGAAAAAGTGCTTCTTATACTCTGAAAAATATGGTAAGTTTCTAGTGACAAAGAGTTTTTCAAACAGTAGAAATTGTTGCCTTGGGTTTTCGTATGTTTTGTACTATGCTCAAGAGTAAATCTAACAAGGGCTCTTTGCATTTCAAATCTCCCACACTCTCTCATTCTCCCTTCTCACCCCCTTTGGCACTTCTTTGCCATAACTCATCTTCACTTGTAAGCTGAATGTCTACTGAGAAAACTGATTCAGTGGGGCATGAGCTGTTGGCTATTTCACATTATCTCAGTTTTAAGCAGAAGCAAGGTTATTTCTATCATCAAATACATTAGTACAGCCAACACCTTAAACAGGCTACTGACTAAAGACATATGAAAGAGAGATGGATCTCAGGAGAACTGAAGCGTGGCCACAAACACTGACCAAATTTCATTTTAACTTTTCATTCTTTCTATTAAGGCAGAGGAGCAAGAAGGCAAAGGAATGCAAACTATTTCTAACCAGAAACATGAAGTGACTATTATACTGTGTCTCCTCCTTGATCTCCATAAATACTGGCTATGAAAACAAGGATTGAAAAGTGGACGCTTCCACTCTTTGAAAATCCTGATGTCTAAAGGACATGAAAGAAGTTCATTACAACTGCAAAGACAAATAGGCTCACACTGTCTGACTGGAACTGATGGGAAGTCACATATATGGAATGTCAGTAGGATATGTCAGAAGGATGACATTTTTTGACATGTTTCGGCCAAAATATTTAATAATTTTAATAATATAATTTAATAATTTTAAGGGATTTTTAATATTTGTATTATCTGTATTTTATCTTGGCTGTTCACCGCCCTGAGTCCTTCGGTATAGAAATTTGATTAATAAATAAATAAATAAATAAATAAACAGATTGTTGAAATCAATTTATGGCTTTCAACAGGTTTACCTAATTTATATTTTCTATGGATGATGACAGCATCTGCCTGAATGTTCTGGGCATGGAAGTCAAGCTGTTTTAGTAGTTGGATTGGCAACCACAAAGAATAAGGCAGTAGGCTACGCAAGGAGGTCAGAAAAAATTTCCACAACTTGACAGTAGAAAATCATGTCCAAAGTGTTGTCCATAAAGATAAATGGATGTGCCCTGTAGTAATCATGAGTCTGCTACTTGATTTGAGAATAACTTTCTCAACACCTACCTGGAGTGTTCGACAAGCTGAAATTCGTTGAGGCAGCTATTTATAAAAAGAGTGAAAAAGCATTCAGAGCAAAAAAGTATTATCACAAAAAACCCAACAATGTTATGAGAGACACATTTACTTTAGCAAAATACATCAGCATCACTATCACTATTGTTGCTGCTACTACTACTATTAGTACACTGCTACTACTACTGTATGTATCTTTCAATCCCTTTTTAGCTCTTTCAAGTCCTTACTATGTTATATAAACTTCTCTTTTGTGGGCAACCAGGAAGTAGATAGGGGAAATGAAGAAGATAATGTTAAGACTCAAGATTCAGATTGAAAATCTGAGAAATGCATTCTCTCTCTAAGCAGTCAAGATCCAGGAAAATTAGAAAAACATAGGAGATTCCACCCACCCACCCACCCATCCAGGTATCTCCCTCTCCCTCTCCACCCACCCACCTATCTGGAACCATCAAAGCTTATAAGTGTTTCTGTCCAGGAAACTCCCTGTAAGGTGCCACTGTCAAGAATGCTCACACCTCTTTTTGCTTATGATCAGGCAAGAAGACAACCTGAAAAAGGATTCCATTGGCATTAATTCCCACTCACCTGTTGCAGTTTGCCCTTGGTTGGCATCCTCCTCTTCATTCAATATTATCTATCAAATTAAGTTATTGGAAAAGAAAAGTTTAATACGGAGAAAGAAATCTCTCTCAGGAAAAAATAACAGATTTAACCAATCCTATAAAAGTCTGTAGTAATCATATTCCTGAGTTTTAGTGAATGCTTTCTAAATTTAAACAGAGGAATATCCATTAGCTGATTGTCTAGTAAGCATTTTTATCGAACTCAGTTGTCAAATTAGGGTCCCTGAAATATTTTTTTTCACAATTTCTCTTGGTTCAATTCAGAGGACAACTGATTCATTAGATGAAGAGTGAGTGAAATTTTCTGCTACTTCCTAGTACTAGAATGCAACAGAGTTGATAAGCAACTTAAGAAATTAACCAAAGATTTGGAAAACTTTGGTGCTGTTACTTCTCAAAAGTTTTGATTGGCCAATTTCATCAATAAAAAGAAGATTCATCAGGCATGTGCATTCCACGTGCACTTTCTCTTCATTGGAAGAGAAGATTTCAGCCTTGTCTATCTCATATGTGCCCAAATGTAGAGGTTCTGTTATGTTCCATCTACAGAGGTGTCATCCGTTTAAGGATTTTTTATAACATTTCTCAGCTAAGCAAAACTACCAGGGTTATATAGCTAATGCAAATATATTTCCTATACCACTTACTGTTTCTAAATCCTGCCTCAAAACTAGGTTTTTTTTATCAGCTTAGATCAGTTTTTAGAAGCCTTCTCAGAGATAGACCCTTTTGCCATTCATGGACTAAGTTTGTAGATGGACTAATAATTTATTTTAAGGTAAGTGGGGGGAAGCTTTTGCTCTTCTGATACCCCTTCTATTTGTAAGAGTTACCAAAAGAATTAGGATATATAATAATTTTCTAATTTTATTATATATCCTAATTCTTTTGGTAACTCTTACAAATAGAAGGGGTATCAGAAGAGCAAAAGCTTCCCCCCCTTACCTTAAAATAAAATATTTTAAGATGTCCCTTCAGATCAAACATGTCTTGCTCTCTAGAGAAAGTTAGCATTAGAGAAGATTACAGTAAAAAAACAATGCAAAGACTACTGACTGTAATGTTTAAAAATACTTGTGAAGATTATTTATAACATTACAACCAACTATCCATTAAGAATATTCATACGAATACTTTGAGCGAAATTTCTAACAATATTCAAACCAAAAATAACAGCTTAGTTTGATACAAAACTGTAAAAACCTATAGAGTTTTTATTAGACAAAAGTTGATGGACAATTCTCTCTCTCTCTCTCTCACACACACACACATCTTGAACTCCTTACCATTTTATCTTTTCCAATAGCTTTAAGGAGTGGTGCTAAAACATCAAACCGGTTATCAAAGTGAATTCTGATCTTGGTGTTTTCTGCTTTGTTGATCACAACAGACTTTCTCATGGCGATTATAAGAATCTTTTCTGCTTCTTCTTCTTCTTCTTATGCAAAAGAAAAAAAACACATGCATTTTCTAGTCATTCCCACAATCGGCAACTGTCTCGGAATAGCTTCAATGAAGCATCCTATAATACTTATTAGGCACTAGGATCAGTGTGGCATATTCTGCTGTTTGAAACAAAATACCAAATAGTGATCTCCACACCTCAGAATATCCAAGGCACAAAATGAGCTGTCATAGATCAAGAAACTTTTCTCAGAAATCAAAATATTCTTCCATCTCTCAGATATTCTTCTGTCAATTAACTCAAAGAATTCTGTGACACTTTAGAACCAACCAACCAATCCATATAGACATATATAAAAGAAACATCACCTTGCATATGATTTGTTTAAAAATATGAAAGGAGCAAGGAACTTAACTGGCTTTATTTATTTTTTATTTGAGAAAATTTTTATTGCCACCTATTCATACAAGGGCACAAGGTGGCTTTATTTATCTCTGTTAATTTGCAGTCTATACAAGACTAACTCCAAATGGACTGAAATGAGACAGTTTTTTAAATTGTACTTGTGCCATTCATGAAGATGCCTTGCTAATCATTTGCTGAGAACATATCCCCATGATGGAGCCTGTTAAGGAAACTCCAGGTTGACTTTAGGTGTTCTGGCATACAAATACACTAGAACCTCTGGTCACAAATGCTTCTGACCACGACCAAATCGGGTTCCGACCAAAAAATTCACAATTTTTTTTCCACGACCGATTTCCTCTTCCGCACCATTTTTTTTGGTAAGCACCAAATTTCCAAAATTAGGTTCAGGTCATGACCAAATTGGTTTGTGACCAAAGTTATGGAACTAATTATGGTCATGACCAGAGGTTCTACTGTATTATGCCTACTCTTACTGCAATACAAACCTTCCAAGGCAGGGGTCTGCAACCTTAAATACTCAAAGAGCCATTTGGACCCATTTCCCACAGAAAAGAAAATACTGGGAGCTACAAAACCTGGGTGGGCATGGCCAACTCGATGTCACTCACTTCCACTGGTCACATGACTCCCCTAGCCACACCTACCCAGCCAGTCATTAGGACAGAGAACCAGTTGTTAAAAAACACTGTGAACCACAAAATCCTTTTGACATCTCTCTCTCTCCCCCTCCCTCTCCCCCTCCCTCTCTCTGTATCTCTCTGTCTCTGCCCTGGCCGCTTCTCCATCCCCCGCTGTGGCCCTTACCTTCTCAGGCCAGGCGAGGAGTGACTGGGAGGGGAGGGCCAGCCAGTGGTAGGATCACCTGACAGGGAGCCACAGCAGAGGGCCCAAAGAGCTGCATGTGGCTGATTGCTAATCTCTGTTCTAAGGCATATGGAGGAGAAGACTTCAGAGATCAACAATCTTCTGGTTCACCACAGACCTCTCTAATCGCTATGCTCTGCACTTTTATGACCATTTCTATTGCAACTGTGAGAGAAATTAGATTTCTTGATTCTGGGAGAAGGGAAGCAGCTTTTTAGCCAACGTGCAACTTTATTCCCAGGTGACTCTACATATGGCATATTCACAGCTCCTTAATGTAGAGGTGGGGGAAGTTATACACACATTCAACAGTGTTCCAGATAACCCTGGAGAAGGGTGGAAATAATCTTGTGCTCAAAGCCTTGGCACTGCAGCAGAGAAGCAGTGGAGGTATGTACTTCTGCCATGGCGTTTTCAAGATGCTTAATAAGCGCAACCAAAAATGACACATGTTTTCAAAAACTCAATTTAAGCATAAATATTTCTACTGAGAGTAATCTCTCATGGACTTACCCTGTAGGTAATAACTGCTGATGTCTTCCTTTGGCAATCTTACTGACTCCCAAAGTATGTCCTGAAAAACAATATTTGAGATAAAAGTCATGTTAATGGCAGCTAAGTAATAAGTAAATAAGTAAACAAAGGCCCATTTTAAAAAATATAATTTTACCTCTAGGCTCTCTGAATAGAATGTAATGCTCTCACTTCCATAATTGAAGTCAATCCAAAAGTCTTCTAGTCTGTCATCTGCGGGTTTCTTTAACTTGGATATAAAAGGAAGAAGTCTCAATTTGATTTCTACCCCCCAAAGAAATCCAGTACAACATAACTTTGCATTTTGGAAACCCAAGAAAGAAGTTATATAGTACAATGCTACCTGTTAGAGAGCCTCAGCTACTCCCCTTCTCTTGCACAGAGCCCTCAAGAGAATTTCTACTGCTTTAGTTTCCCGAGGTTTCCTAAGGCATCAGCTGAAGGGATAGTAAAGCTTCTGAAAGCTTTTCCTTCTTCAAAACAATTAATTCCCAATGAAGTCAATGTTTAGCAAAATATAAGTTACCTGACTCCTTGTTGCATAATGAATTAAAGGTGATTAGCTTTAATATTTAGTACTAGCCGAATATATGCAATTTTTGGAAGCAATTTCTGAAGCTGTGGGTACAAGAGGCACTTCAGAACTCAATAAAACATAATTCTAATAAGTATTATAAAACAACGTCGTAGAAAGAATGACACGTCCCACAAAAACCCAAGTACTTTTTCTTCAGTAGCTTTAAAATAAGAAATTGCAAAATACCAATTTTATTTGCAATTGTTGCACTTGTACTTATTATTTGCAAGTTTTATTTTCATATAGTATTCAAGAATGGGTGGAATTATATGCATCAAGTGTTCCTGAGAACTGTTTTTAACACTTTTATTCGACAGCTGAAAAGATCATACACCCAAGAAATCAGGAATAGCAACAAAAAGAATCACAATTATGGGATGGGAATAGAAGAACCTTTATTTCTCAAAGTTACATAAAAATATTTTCACATCTTGTTTCACCTTCATCAGCTCTCTCTCCCTAAATTAATTTCCCCCAAATAACACTTTTGCTATCCCATTATTAAACTAGAAAGAATAGATTATTATAAACAACCCTATTAAAATCTCTATACTTCCAATATTTCATAACATCACAATGTAATTGTTAGCTTCATTACCTCCATCAGTTCAGTATAAGCAGCTTTACACGGAATTGAATAGATCCTGAAAAATAAGAAAATTTTCATTGATCCTGAAACGCAATTTCTATTCCAATCTGCTTCTAGAATAGATATAGTGGGCATGGCTTGGAACTCAGGCCTAATTCATCTAGAGCAGTGTTTCTCAACCTTGGAAGCTTGAAGATGGGTGGACTTCAACTCCCAGAATCAAGCTACCAAAGTTGAGAAACACTGATCTAGAGGTTTTCAAGTTGTAAAAGCTTAAATGATAAGCAAAGATTAAACCAGAGAAGATCAAGCTTATCTAAACTATCAATTGAAGCCAATCTGGATCTATACAGCAATGTACTGTCCCCCAGTTAAGACATACTGTCAAGCCTGGAAGCCATCTTTGGATTAGGCCCTCAGACCTGCCAAACATACTTCATCCTGAACCTTCAAAAATGCAACAAATCTATACCCATCACAAAATAACACTAGATCTAGAGTTTTTAAAATTATATTAATCACAGTATTTACTAAGACAGTAAGGTGCTTCAAAGCAACCTACATCTAGGTGGTTTTACAAGTGAACTTGAGAACATTTATCTTTTGCTCTATTGTACTGAATATGGCCTAAATACATAAAAAAATTCCTAAACAATTCATAGGAATAGTGCTGGCAGGTATGATTCAAGCATACAAATGAAGAGAGGCATTACTAACAAACATAACACCATGTTATCCATGAAGTTTTCTCATGACTTAAGAAGCAAATCTATGCGAAGTGTTGCTTAGCAAAATATCTAACTTAGCAAGACACAACATGAGAAAGAGTGATTTATCCTGGGCTAGCAAACCTGTTTGGAGATTTTTAGGGAAGGTCAGCACTATCTTATGTCAACATGTGGTGGAAAATAAAGCAAGCCCACATCTAATTCCATGCTTCATCAGCAATTCACACTTCATTAAGAGAGGCACTTCCCTTTCCGCACTGCTTAAGGTAATATCAGAACTCCAAATTAAGTAAGATAGCTTGCCAATATGGTTGTTTTCTGCACTGGTGTGGCAGGGGGGCAATGAAACTGGCATGGAAAAAGGACAAATCTTCCTGACAATCAACTTCTGACATTACTGCATCTCATACCACTTGATAGTATCAGCATATTGATGTGATTCAAAATTGGATATCCACACTTTTTTTTTTAAAGGAACATGTTTCCTGATCCTGCATGAATGAGACAGCCCTCACTTTTTCAAAAGTTTGTGCTTTCAAGATTTTTTAAAAGTTCAAGAGGATATTAATGGCATTAAAGAATAATTCATATTGTACCTATGGCCTTAAATATTATAAAACTACAGGAATCATTTGTTTCAAGAACATCAATTGGGCTACCATGTTTCCCCGAAAATAAGACCTGGTCTTATATTAATTTTTGCTCCAAAAGACCTATTAGGGCTTATTTTCTGGTTAGGTCTTATTTTTGGGGAAATACGGTACTAAATGCATCCATCTGGCTGACAATCTTAACTGGGGCTTATTTTGGGGGTAGGGCTTATATTACGAGCATCCTGAAAAATCACGCTAGGACTTATTTTCCGGTTGGGTCTTATTTTGGGGGAAGTTTTGTATAAAAATGCAGCCGATATTGAATATCTTGCATTACTTACCCTTACTATCTCAAATGGTCAATGCTGAAATTAAAAAAAACCTTTCCAATCATTTGAAATAATAGTTAATACCGAATTGTTAGCTAGCATGTTTCTCTCTTTAATAAATTCCTATTGGCAGACTAAGCTGTGTGCCATTGTGCCCATCTGGGAAAGGTTCATAGGAAACACTTACCTTCTTTTATCACCAAGTCTTTCATTTAATTCATTAAGAAGCTTTCTGCTATCCTTGAAGTGAAGACGGAAAACAGAATGTTACATTTATTTTAAAAAAATGCTCTCCTGCCAAGTTGAGGAGAAGGGAATACTATAGAAAGTACATGTTCTCTCCAGTGGTATTCAAGATAATATGCAAAATATTTGTGTGATAATTATAATGGACTATTAGTTAGCTTAGGTTCACTAAGCTAAGCTAACTAGTGTAACTAGTTGGACTAAATTAGTTAGTTGAGCTAACTAATCTAACTAGTCTTTTTGAGGGTAGAAGTTCAACTTCTACCCTCAAAAAGACGTTATAGGGCACTGCACACCAAAACCGCACTGCACAGTGCACACTAGACACAAGGACAGTTTTTTCCCAAATGCCATCACTCTGCTTAAAAACTAATTCCCACAACACTGTCAAATAACTTAAGGATGTATTATTATTATTATTCTCTTCCTTACTAGTATCTATCTCTTCCCACTTATTACTATAACCATGTCGCTTGTATCTTTCAATTATATTGTTTTATTTGTTTCCTGGTACGATTTGATAGCTTATTAGTAAACTTGACTAACACTAAGTGTTGTAACTTTTTATTCTTGATTAATGTATTTTATTCTCCTTATGTTCACTGAGAGCATATGCACCTAAGACAAATTCCTTGTGTGTCCAATCACACTTGGCCAGTAAAGAATTCTATTCTGTTCTATTCTATTCTATTCTATTCTATTCTATTCTATTCTATTCTATTCTATTCTAGCACAAATTATCCTAAAAGTGAATTATGAATAGCCTTTTGCAGGGATGTGAAACTCTGCTGAACCATTATTCCCCCACTTTAAAAGTGAGGAATACCCAAAGCTGAAATTCAAATCTGAATTGTTATACAGAGGTACCTTGGTACTCAACTGCTCTGAAACTCAGTGAATTTGGTACTCAATGCATTTTGACGTGAAAATTTTGTCCCAGTACTCAGCGTTTGTTTGGTATTCAATGCACAACCTAAAACTTGTCGATGTTGGCTGTCTTGTGACTCACTACATTATTTCTTATGGGAAAAAATGTTTAGAACTCATTGCTTTTGGTAGTCATCGTGCCTCCTGGAAACCAATTAACAATAAGTAGCGATGTACCATTGTATGTTCTGTATTACTGACCTATAAATTTAAAAACAACCACTGCTGTCTGATTCCTTTCTCCCCGTCCCCATTATTTTATTTCCTTTCTCCCCTTCCCCATGACTTTATTTCTGATATGAATCACAAAAACCCTTACTGTCTCAAAGTCTTCATCCTTGATTTCTCTAAAAACCTTAGTGACATATTGATCTTCAAACCAACTGTGCACCATTTCATCTCGGCACTTTTTCAACATCATCCTAAACAAGGCTTCAACAAAAGCAACCTGAATATCATAATCTATAGGAAAAAATAAGAAGATTTTTTTTCAAAATAGCAAACTTAGCTACCCCCACACAAGCCCGCAAATAATCTTTTCAAAGCAGGAAGAAACTCATTTCTATTCATAGCATCAAGTTTAAATTGAAAACCTTTCGCCTTTTTTTTTTTGCATCACAAGTTTAAATTGAAAACCTTTTTGCCTCCCCTTTTTTTTTGCATCACAAGTTTAAATTGAATTTTTTTTTGCCTACATTACTTTTTTTATTCCATCCAGTCAAATCCAATTCTGAGAAATTGCCTGGACAAGTCCCTGCAGGTTTTTTTTGGCAGTTTTTTTCTAGGATTTGTCTCCTTCCTAGGGCTGAGAGAAAATGATTGGCCCAAGGTCACATATTTTGTTTTGTGTCCAAGACGGAACTAAAACTCACAATCTCCCAGTTTTTATCCTGGTACTTTGACCAGTACTTCAAACTGGCTCTCAGCCCAGCTCAAGGTAGTGAGCATAATACTTCTGCAACTCAGCCTCTTGGTTTCTAGCCCAGCACCTTCATCATTGATCCATACCGACTCCCATTGCTGTCGTTATTACCTTTTGGCCAAATGTCAATCTACTAAATGTACTAAGATAGTGCACCATGAAGAATAAAGTTAAAAATAAAGGTAAAAATTTTATTTCCAATTCTTAGGCAAGGCATGGTGAAGGACTCTCCTGACTCTCCTGAAATTCTCTCCCTCTCTGTTCACAATCTTAAATTCCAGCTCTTTATTTTCATTTCAGAATTTCCCCAGCTCTGATCAAGATATCAAACATTTCTTACCACCAATATCCTGAACAGTTTTCACAAGTTCCTTCCTGAAACAACATAACCCATTAATAACATTGATGTCTTGAAAGAGTAAAGCAGTAATCTGAGATTAAATTTTTTTAGAAGTAAAATGCAAACACGTCAAAATTTAAAACAAACTAATGTAACCCAATGGACTGCAGAGGATCTATTGCTAAATTGCTCATATTTTTTAGGGGGGAAAAACCCAGGATCAATTGGGTCTATATTAACTATTCAAATGTTTGTCTAATAATGTAAGCAGAAAAGCAAGACAAATGAACCAGTTCCAGACTTAATCATAATTAACGATTTGCATCCTTCTTTTTCAGTTCAGAAAAAAAAAAACCCTGAAAAACTGGTAAATACAACCAATTAAGACAGAAAATAAGATTTTTATTTATATACCCTGCTGTTATTAATTTTACAAATCACTCATGGCAGTGGTTAAGAAATACAATCTCTTAAACACTATTGCAGGAAATGAAGTCAAAGGGAGAAGGGATATTCTTCAAATATCTTTGAGGGAGACAGGCAATAAAGGAATGTGAAAAATAAATAAAAATATAATCCTGACATGAAAAGTTGACTTACATAAGCAAGCACATCTCTTCAGAGGCAGCAAAGGCCTTCTTCTCCTCACGGGTGACATTAGCCAAAAGTGTATTTAATGTTCTCAGAGCCTTGGATTTAGTGATCGAAAGAAATAAAGAAAAAAGACAGGAAATAAAGCTCAGCTATCCCAATCTGATCAAAAGTGCTCTCCTACGTAATAGAAATTTGCAAGCTGATAAAAATTGATAATGATTTCATGCCTTAAAGTTTGCTATATGGATTTTAAACTAACCTCCTGTCGAAGGGCGTAATTCGCATTAGATTCCATGGCTAAATAACCCAGGTGTTGTATGAACGAGTCAAGCAACTGTTTTCTTCCTATATAGATTGAAGAAGAAAAGGTGGTAGGATTGATAGTACTAACAATCGCACACTATTTCTCTAATTGATTTTTAATATTCCTAACAGTTTTATGAGGTTTACTTTTTAGTCCTTTATTTTAAATAGTATTTCCATCTAAAGCTATAATGAAATGTCAAATTTGAGCCAATCATCTCCTTTTAACTCATAACTGCATATCGCTGTTTAATTCAGGAGTGTAGCTTTTGAGATATTGAAACAAGTCAAGCTATAAGAAGAAAAATCCATAGTTGAATTTTTGAAGCTGTTTTCTGTCTAATGTATATAATATGGAACAACAAATTGCCCCCATAACTTCCTAACTGATTGGCTGGAGCAGCGCCACTGGAATCAATTAGCTTTAGCATTTTAATGATTATGCTAAATAAAATTTGCAGCCTTATTTATGGTTTTCCCCGCCCCCTCAAAATGACTCATAATACCTTTTCATGCAGACCCAACAATAAAATCCACAAAGACTCATCCTACGTTTACTCAAATGTAGATTCTACATTTCAATATGCTACAACTCAATATGCATAGACTACAGTCACAAAATCTGAATGTCACTTTGACTATTCAGTAATTATAACACTATTTAGTAACTGACCTTCAGTGCTGTTTTTGCCAATAATCTAAAAGGAAGATGTTGAGGAGAAAGGAAGGAACAGGAGATAGAATGGACATATTAAAAGTCAGTATATGATATCTAGCAAGAATACAGAAGTTTCAAACACTTGTGTTACTTTATGCAATCTATACACTAATATTATCAGTATATAGTCATGTAAATTTTTAATGTTTTTTTAATGTTTTAATGGTTTTAATGTTTTCTTTTAAACTTTTGTATGGGATATTGTTCGCATTGTTTTATTCTCTGTTGTTAGCCGCCCAGAGTCCCTCAGGAGTTGGGCGGCATAAAAATGTGACTAATAATAAATAAATAAATAAATAATTCAATTTGTGTTGCTGCAATAATGAACTCTTCAATAGAGTAGTTTGGGGCAACAACTGATACTCCTTTCTCCTATTAGTCTGTGAAAATGAGGCTTCACTGTATAACTCAAGAGTCAGTTCCTACTGTACATCATTACAACAACATATTTATGATTGACAACTGCTCCCAATGTTCTAGTGAGTACTCCCAGAGTACTTGCCATAATAAAAAGATGGGATATATATTATATGTAGCAGGTAATGAGTACGGAGCATGCTAGGTCTGATGATACTGGAAGATGAATTTGTGCCAAACTCCCTAAGTGAACCACAAAAGAAATCAATGGACCCCAAAAGTCTTTTCAACCCCACTTATTGGCAAGGCTGTCAGAAAAAAAGAGATCTGTAAGTCAGTTGCTTCATAATGACAAGTATTAGAATGGAATGGAATGGAATGGAATGGAATGGAATGGAATGGAATGGAATAGAATAGAATAGAATAGAATAGAATAGAATAGAATAGAATACAATACAATACAATACAATACAATACAATACAATACAATACAATACAATACAATACAATACAGTACAATTCTTTATTGGCCAAGTGTGACTGGACACACAAGGAATTTGTCTTTGGTGCATATGCTCTCAGTGTACATAAAGAAAAAATAAAACATATTCATCAAGAATCATAAGATACAACACTTAGTGATAGTCATAGGATACTAATAAGCAATCAAATCATACTAGGAAACAATAGAAAACAATATAAGTTGTAAAGATACAAGCAACATGGATATAGCCACATGGATATATATTAATAGGGAAAGACCACCAGATAATAGTTTTGTTGTTCTTTCTATGTGCTTACCAAGGTTGTATTAAAGAAATCCTCGACAAGATTTTCCAACTCTTTGTTTTCTTTGGATTCTCTCAGTCTCAGAAATACTCTTGTCCTTTCAAACCAAGCAACCATGTAAAAAGGAAGGCACATGCAAGTAAAAATCAAATGAGCATCTAAAGCCAATTTCACACCAAATTTTAATATACAACTACACAGGACAATAAGTAAAATGACAATGTTCTCTAGCAGAACATATATTGTTACTGTTGGTGTTCTCTATTGAAGTGCATGGGGAGATAGATTAACTGCAACAAAATTTACCCAGTTCTCATTCATTTGTTGGCTTCACCCAGCACACTAAGTAACCATGTGATTTGTGTGCCTTGCCTTCACTATCATGACTTAGTGCTACAAAATCTTCTGCTCATTATGGTTCAGTCAACCAACCATGACAAAAACCTATGGTTAAGTACTACTACTTGCTGGAGTTTGGGCACCAAAGCAAGCAAACATTTCAACACCACCACTTACTTACAAGGTCTACCTACCACTAAGCCCATGATGGTGAACCTATGGCACGGGTGCCACAGGTGGCACACGGAGCCATATCTGTGGGCACGCGAGCGCATGTGCGTGCTGGCCAGCTGATTTTCAGGCCTTCCAGATCCACCGGAAGTTGGGAAACGGGCTGTTTCTGGGCCTCTGGAGGGCCTCCGGGGCAGTGGGGAAGGCGATTTTCGCCCTCCCCAGGCTCCTAGAAAGCCTCTGGAGCCTGGGAAGGGCAAAAAATGGGCCTACCAGGCCCACCGTGTCATCACGTGCCAAAAGCTTGGGGAGAGCAGGGGGGTCACGTGGGGGGACGGGGCGCATTGAATTATGGGTGTGGGCACATGTGTGCACAATCCCCCTCGCTCTGTCCACTTTTGGCACGCGATGGCAAAAAGCCATCACTGCACTAGGCAATATGAAAGTTGGGTGTCCTGAAAGGATAGCAAGTTATTTAATTTATTGCTGTTGTACTTTTATCACTAGAAACAGCAGGAGATATTTCTCAAATCTTTTGCCCCCAACAACAAAAGAACCAGGGGTGGGCTTCAGCTCCTTTAGCAACGGGTTTGCTGCCCCATTGCTGGGTGGGCGTGGCCTACTCAGCCTCCTGCACCATGGCGGGGGGCATTTTTCACCCTCCCCAGGCTCTGGAGGCTTTCCTCGAGCCTCCAGGAGGGCAAAACAGCTTCCTCCGGGGTCCGGAGGCCCTCCGGAGGCCCTCCGGAGGCCAGAAACAGGCCTGTTTCTGGAATTCCGGAACTTCCAGTAGGCTCGTTTTTTGCCCTCCCAGACTCTCCACGTGGCCCCTGCAATTACCTGAAATGATGAATGGGCCACGTGGAGACTCCTGGGAGAGGTGGAGTGGGGTGGGCAGGGTGAGCGTAGCCAGCCGGGGTGGCATTTGGGGATTCCCTGAACCCTGGCAATCCTTGGTTGGAGGATTGCCTGAACCCTGCCGAACTCCCAGGAGCCCACCCCAGAAAAGAACACACAGTAGTCTGCATTTTGACTTGGTGGAAGGAGAATGATCTCTCATACTTCTTAATCTGCAAAGTGTCTTGAGACAGCCCTAATTACCCTGTTTCCCCCAAAATAAGACATCCCCTGATAATAAGCCCAATCGGGCTTTTGAGCGCATGGCAATAAGGCCAAGTGCTTATTTCAGGGTTCAAAAAATATAAGACAGGGTGTTATTTTTGGGGAAACACGGTATATTTTCAAATTCCATGGAGGTTCTGTAGGCCATTAATGAGGTTCCTCCAACTGACCTGGGAAGTACATACCTTGCACTTTTTCTATTCTCTAGTCAAGAAACACACAGCTACACACAATGCATTCCCTATGGTTAAATTTGTCTCTCTCCCCAAAAGCGGGAACATTATGAAAAGGAATATGGGATTGTAGTTTTTAGGATATAAATGAATCAATGTTATTGCATTTGGGCTGCATCAAGAGAAGTTCTATTTCCAATTCATGTGAATCAATAGATTGTATTCTGCATTGATCAACACTGAGAACCATATTTAGCTCTGGACACACTTTAAAGCAGGGGTCTCCAACCTTGGCAGAACTCTGGGAGTTGAAGTCCACAAGTCTTAAAGTTGCCAAGGTTGGAGACCCCTGCTTTAAAGGATTCAGACAAACTGAAACAAACACAAATAAAGACAGGGATTTAGTTTACAAAGGGTGATTTGGGTTTGGTAATATTCTTCTCAAGTGCATGAAGAAGTAAATATCAGATCCTGGAAATTATAAAAAGGCAGATTTTGGCTGAATGTTAGGGAAAACTGTATACTAGGAGGAAGGAAATCACATAAGAAAGGAAAAGGCTCCCCTTTTGCTAAATGCCTTCAAGGACAGATAGGATTTGTGGGATTTACTTAATTTGGATTTTTGCACTGAACAACAGTTGGACTCAGTCCCTAACATATACAGTAAATGGGAAGTTTACGATTCTTGCTCACAATCAGCATAGCGAGGTAAAGTGAAATTGTAAAACAATAAAAATGTAATTGAGAATAAAGTTTTAGCTGCAACAAGAAATGTTTATCTTTTAGATAACAACTTCATAAACACTTCCAGCCAGGCAAATATGTTTTAGAATATAATATAATACTACTGATTAGTAACGAAGATATTAATGCATTAGGTTACTTATCTTTGGTATCAATCCTTGCTGAAGAAGCAGTTTTATACTTTCCGGAGAATCACTTCTACAGTACAGCTGAATGCATTTCAACAGTAGGGAAACATTCGAAAATTCATTTTTGTCCAATTCCTAAAGCAGATAAGTTCACATGTATGACTGCCTAAACAGTTGAACAGATTTAATGTTCAGCAATTAAGAATTTCCTACATACCTTTTTTAGAGCTTTGTCAAGTTGATTTAATAATTGTTTCTTACACTTCTGAGGGACATATTTGTCTTTTTCTTGTATCATTACATTTATTTTCTGAAATCCTTTCCCTCTGAAGGCATCACTTAACAATGATTGTAGCTAGAACAAAACAAAAGCAAAACTTCAATATGAGCCTTTAATTATTGACAAATAATCTTTACGTTTCTCTCACAAATTTGCTTTTAATTTTCCCACTATACCTGAAAGAATAATATGAAGACTCCTAGCCTCTAGGCCAGTGTTTCTCAACCTTGGTAGCTTGAAGATGGGTGGACTTCAACTCCCAGAATCCCCCCAGCCAGCAGTGCTCTAGCATTTTCAAGCTTCCAAGGTTGAGAAACACTGCTCTAGGCCTTGAACCTGCCTGGATCAAAGCATGCAAGTTTTACATTTTATTGACTTGTATTCCAAAATGTCTCTTACCAATTCAGTGCATCAAACTTCTCTAAACTAACTCCTTCTAATTGGGTTGGACTATAAGTCTGGTAATATTGAGACTAATGAGAATGGTTGTTTCATACATCTGGAAAAAGCTTTAGACATGGTTAGGCTAGGTTAGTGTTTCTCAGTCTTATAAACTTTATGTTTCCAGAATTCCCCAGCCAGCATGATGGAATTGGTCCACACAGCTTAAAGTTGCCAAGGTTGAGAAACACTGGGCCAGGCCCACAAAACTCAGTTTCAATTATTTATCTCATAAAAAACAAAAATTGTATGAATGTATTCCTGTTTAGCTTCTAAAAATAGAAGCTAAACAGGATATAGGTTTTTTTTTTTTTAAAAAAAAGTTGTTTCTGCTGTACACATCCACTCAGTGGTGAAATCTAAATTTTGTTACTACCGGTTCTGTGGGCCTGGCTTGGTTGGGGGGGTGGTGGTAATGTGACTGGGTGAGCGTGGCCAATTTTAAAAAAACTTTTAAAACCATGTAAAACAATGTAAAACCATGTAAAAAAGTGCTTTCAAAAGGCTCTGACGGTTTAACCCTCTGCTAATCAGGCAACTCAGCTGGGATCGTCAGAGCCATTTAAAAGAAAAAAAGCCTCTGATGATCGCACGGCTCAGCTGGGCATGCGGGGCAGGAGCAGGGATTTTTGCTACCGGTTCTCCGAAATGCCCGCCTCCATCACTAGCTACTCACCCCAGCCGGTCTGAACCGGGAGAATTTCACCCTACATCCACTATACATACCAATATCACTTTTATTTTATTTATTAAATTTTATGCCATCCATCTCAATATACAGAGTGACTCTGGGCAGTTATAATGTTACTTAGAAAGTCTATAAAAAATATGTGACAATTTTGGAAACTCTGCTCATTTTATCATTATAGCAACTCTGTACAGTAGGCTGAGTTGAAAAAGGACAATGGAGCACAAGTCATCCAGTGACTTTCCATGGCTAATGATGGATTAGAACTGGAATTTCTCCAAGCTTAACCTGCCAACTTAATCACAAGATTGGCATAATATTCAAATATGGAATCCAACATTTAGTAACAGTAACAGAGTTGGAAGGGACCTTGGAGGTCATCTAGTCCAACCCACTGCTCACAGAGGAGACCTGTACTAGGGATTTGAACTGCCGAACTGCCGACCTTTCTGATCGACAAGCTCAGTGTTTTAGCCACTGAGCCACCTAGTCAGGCATAATAATTTAATACAAGTGGTGGAAATCCCACAGCCTTAAAGCCTCATTTTGGCAGATGATCATCTCAAGATCATTCTGCCAGAAGAGAATACAGAGGACATATGATTTAATGAGAAGAATGCCTCACTTTCACTGGACGTTTATCAATCCAGACTGGGTGACCATATTTCAAGGATAAAGTAACTGATTCAAGAGGTAGGATTAATTTGGAGGACTCTTTCAAGTATAAGATTCTAGAGTCAAAACAAGAAAGCCAAGAGAAAAACGTACATGGACAATCCCGATAACATGTAAAAATATTAGCAAAATCTTCTGTTAAGAGTCAAGAATTAAAGTGGTCTATTCAGAGTAATATGAACAAAAAGATAAAATTACAGAAAAACTCAGAATTCTTTGAATCTTTTAACATGGAATTTTAGAAAGTGATTAGAGCAGTGGGTCTCAACCTTCCCAATGCCGCGACCCTTTAATACAGTTCCTCATGTTGTGGTGACCCCCAACCATAAAATTATTCCTAAAACCATTGAAAATATGTGTTTTCCGATGGTCTTAGGCGACCCCTGTGAAAGGGTCGTTCGACCCCCAGAGGGGTCCCGACCCACAGGTTGAGAACCACTGGATTAGAGGATGAGATTATTATTATTATTATTATTTTGCAACCCTTGTTTTTTTGTCATCATATTTTTATCATTCATTTTCCCAGAAAAAAAGAAACGTGTAAAACTTTTTCACTGAATAGCAGAAGAGACTGTCTTGTGATAGATACCATATTAGCTCAACTGAATCAAATTGTTTTTGAATTCTTAAATCTGTGTCAATATAAGTCTGACCATATTAAAATAGTTAATATATATACGTATGTGTGTGTGTGTGTGTGTCTATATATATATATATATATGTATATATATATATATATATATATATATATATATATATAGTTTATACTTTTCTCTTTGAAATGATTTAACAATTTCATGAAAATCAAATTATATTTACACAATATTCAGTTTTGCCTGGCATTTCTTCCTCTTCCTCTCTGATATCTTCTTCCTTTAGATTAAAAAAATTGAAAAAAAAAGTTTTACTTCTATGCATATAAGAATTAGCAACAGCAGCCAAAGCTTAAATTAATTTAGGAATAGATGGGAGGAGAGTCCTTCCTGAATTTACCAACCTCAGTCCAAAATAATAAAGATTCAAACTGGTTGCATTAAGGTAAGGTCCCATGCTTAACCATGCCTTACACCAGGGATGGGCAAATATGGCCCCTTTATGACCTGTGGACTTCAATTCCCAGAATTCCTGAGCCAGCTTGGCTGTCTCCGGAATTCTGGGAGTTGAAGTCCATAGGTTGTAAAAGGGCCACAGCTGCCCACCCCTGCGCCTTACACCAGCCAATTTTTTGTGTTATATAAGTATAGGTGCTGTGAAAGTAACAACTGGTCTGTTTCCCATAACGGACAACTGACCTGCAACATTGGTTACTCTCCCTGTTGGAAGATATGATTCACTCTTCTCCTAGAAAAAGGAAAAGAAACTCAAAAAAATATTAAAAGAGCAGGAAAATTCCTCTAAAAGAAGATAAGCAGAAACTCAGGCAGAGTTTCAGCCCCACCTTTGTCAATGGGCCATTAAGAAGCTGAAGCCACCCTATTTTCCACAACAAAGGAAGGACAAAATTACAGGAGCACATCCAAACAGGTATGAGACATAGAAAAAAGCAAACACCCAAAAAGAAAAAGAAATCAAGCCAAAGTAATTAGAATTTTAAACACCTGAGAAAAGGAGATATTCACTAAAACACAGTAATAGCAAACTGATTAATTATAGGGAACGAACAACTACAAAAGGCTAGGAAATACAGAGACTGGACTATAAAACAATTACTTATTTGCCAGATCCAGGACTGAAGAACCCAATCACAAAAATCAGGATTTAAACACCATAAAACAATCACACACACAAATCAAAGGATTCACATGCCAAATCAAAAGAATTTCAAAAGACTTTAAAGGGTCACATGGAAAAATCAAAAGACCTTTTAGGATATAAAAAAGGGTTTTTCTTACAGCTCAAACAGGCTAGCCTCAGAACACTGTGCTTGTATTTGTCTCTTGCCTGCTTTCCTATAAACAATAAACTAATTCTGCTCTCAAGCAGCTGGCCTCCAATCATTCCGATGTAATCTCCCAGCTGGGAGTTTTGAATTCAAGAAAGGAAAGTTCTGTCTTCCAACAATCCTTAAAGGGAAAGGCTTCTTTTTCTTCCAACATCCCCAAAAGGCAGAAAGCGATTCCAGCCTCCACTGCCACTGCCACACACGCTTTCGCCTCACCAAATGCAGCCTCCCCCCCACTGCCCAGCTGAGCTGCGCAATCATCAGAGGCTTTTGTTTTATTTTTAAAAGCATTTTTTCTACAACCTCCTTGGCCGAAAAAAATGCTTTTAAAAGTAAAAAAAAAAAAAAGCCTCTGATGATCACGCAGCTCAGCTGGAATCATCAGAGGCTTTTAAAAAAAAGAAAGCCTCTGCCGATCAGGCAAATCAGCTGGGATCGTCAGAGGCTTTAAAAGCATTTTTTTTACAACCTCTTCAGCCGAAGAGGTTGCATAAAAAATGGTTTTAAAAGTTAAAAAAAAAAATTGGCCATGCCCACTCAGTCATGTTACCCCCCCCCACCAAGCCACGCCCACAGAACCGGTAGTAACAAATTTTGCATTTCACCACTGGTATGCATGCTCAGTGTTGGATCCTAAGCAAGGACCCTTTGCGAGGAACGCTTGCGTGGTTTTAAGATTTCTGTGCTTCGAGCACTTCCTTCCTTCCTCACGCTTCAGTAAAGTTTTAAAGTCCAAGGATCAACCTTTTAAATGCCTAGGTTTAGGATGGCAGTACTTTATGGTATGGGAGGTGGACATGCCGGTTTAGGGCCTGAGCTGTTGGAAGGAATTCCAACTTGTTTTGCATCCATCTGCTGACATGAATGGGCTTTTTATTTGCCCGTTTCCGAGGGATGGAATAAATAATGCCGCTTCTTAATCACCACCATAAAAGGTTCAACAACAATCTTGGTTGTGGCTGTATCGGTAGAAAATATTTAGACAAATGGCTTTGCACAACTGTACAACTACTTTATTTTATTTATTTATTTTTATTTTATTTATTTATTTTGTCAAGCATGTATTTTATGACAGATACAAGCATAAACATAATTATAAATACATGAAAAGGATACGAATAAAAGAAAACATTAGGATTGGGACGGTAGGCACACTGGTGCGCTTATGCACGCCCCTTACAGACCTCTTAGGAATGGGGTGAGGTCTACAGTAGACAGTCTAGGGTTAAAGTTTTGGGGATTGGGGGAAGAAACCACAGAGTCAGGTAGTGCATTCCAGGTGTTGAGAACTCTGTTACTGAAGTCATATTTTCTGCAGTCTAGTTTGGATCGGTTTACTATGAGTTTGTATCTATTCTGTGTTCTTGTATTGTTTTGGTTGAAACTGAAGTATTCATTGGCTGGTAGGACATTGTAGCAGATGATTTTATGTACTATGCTTAGATCAGACAGAAGACAGCGAAGTTCTAAATTGTCTAAGCCCAACATTTCAAGTCTGGTGGCATAAAGTATTTTGTTGCAAGCAGAGGAGTGGAGGATTCTTCTTGTGAAATATCTCTGGACTCTTTTGATTGTATTAATGTCCGATATGCAGTGCGGGTTCCAGACAGATGAGCTGTATTCAAGAATTGGTCTGGCAAAAGTTTTGTATGCCCTAGTTTGCAGTTCAATATTACCGGAGAAGAAACTATGCAAGATTAGGTTAACAACTCTTAATGCTTTTTTTGGCAATGCTGTTATAGTGAGCTCTGGCACTACTTCAGAATTACTTAGGTGCCATCTGTAGAAATGCACCCATAAAAAATTAAATTGCATACGATCACACAACACATTTTATTTTTTGACACAGCACTGGTCCCTGGTGATTATTTGCCACATAATAAAGTTAAATTGGATTAGTACACCGTGTTAAAGCAAAATATGGTTAGTTTATGGTTCATTGGAAAGGTTAATAGATACCGTGAAATGCAAAGTAACCAATATTTTAACCTTTGTGAACTTGATGACAGGAACCTAAAAAAATTGCTTACAAATCCCAAGTAATAACCACAGATCATCAGAACTTACTTTTAAAAAACAAATCTAAGCTTCAAGCCATGTGGCCACAGCTGATGTTCATTTTTTCCAGTTTATTGTACTAAGCAACAATAATTGCTTAATTCATTTACAGCACAATGTAGTCATAGCTATAATAAAGCAATTCAATAAATTCAGTGAAGTTAAAATGCAATTGCATGTACCTAGGAAAAAGTTGTAGTTTTGGATTTGATAGCAATCGCTTCTAAGTAGGTATGCTTAGGAAGTCATTGGATATAGGGGACACAAGACTATAAATCAGCAAGAAAAATCCTGAAGGAAAAATATATGACATATCCAAAAGTAAAAACACTCTTGAATCACAGGTAAATCACAGGTGCTGGTTCAGTCAAATAAATAAGACTGTCTTCTCAACCAAACATTCTCCAATATTTTAAGATCCTTTTGTTTAATTATTAGAAGGACATTGCTCCCATTAGTGTGATGGGAATATTAACACAGAATAATTAATTGCGGAGTAAAATAAGTTTTCTTTGATTGCAAATTAAATGAAGAATAATATTGCCACACTTCCATTTTTGGGACAGCTTTTGCATATAAGAATGGTATGAATGAATTGTCTCTTGGTCTCCCAGCCTAATCTATGGAATGGGACAGTATAATAATTGAATACAATTATCATATTTATAAATAATAAATAAGAATACCAGGAGATTAATATCTTCTGCTGTCTTTCAAAGAAGCTGTGCATGTGGCCTACTTTGTCATGCCTGTTTTGTTCACAGAACACACGTCATAGTTTAGGAGAAGGGGCCAGATGGAACCCATCATTCAATAAGCCTTACAACATAGTGGTAATTTGAATCAGGACCACTGCAGTTCTCATCTGAAGCACCTCTACTGCTCATTGGCTGGCTACTTTGAAGCTATACTTGCACCGTGTGGCCTTTTCTCAGTAGCAGTTACATATGCCACCCATGCCCACACTAGCAGTGAATTTTGCTTTGTTTTGGGTGCCTTGTCTTCATTCACGATGACTTTTTCAGAAAATGTTTGCCATTGCCTCTTTCCTAAGATTGAGAAAGAATGGCAAGTTGAAAGACACCCAGCTGGCTTTGTGTCTTAGGTGGGACTAGAACTCACAGTCTCCTGGTTTCTAGCCTGATGCCTTTAACCACTGTACCAAACTGGCCCTAAGTAAAAGAATAAGTGCCATTAGTTGGATTGTACAGTATCGCTTGTGGCCTGTGTTAGTGATGCTTTGGAAGCAAACACCTCATAGGCTGGAGTCTAATATTTTCAGGCCAATAATTGATCATTGTTTAGCCAGTGCTATGACTGGTATTCCTCGTCCTCTGCCTGTGACTGTCACAGGTTAAATCATGCCTCTTCAACAGATCGTCTGACATCATCTGCCCAGAAGTGCATGATGCAGTGAGATCCTTTGGGCTTAAACCAGGAAAAGTCATTCTTTTTGGGAACAGAAGGAGGGAAAATATCTGAGATAAGGCCAGCATTGTGTGATCAAAGGAGAATAATGGAATTACCAGGTGGTCTGGTCTGATGTAAACTGCAAGTGAGGAAGCAGCTGCATTCAATTCATTAGGAGTGCCTTGGTGTTTAGTATTACATTGTGTGATTGCTCCCTCCCCCCTATCTTTGTAGGAATTCTGACCAATTTTACAGGATTATGATTGTCTAAAGCTATCATTTGATCATGTCCAAACTTTTCAGTTGAACTGGATTTTGAACATTGGAATCTCAGATTTAAAATATATGTGGGAGAGAGGGAGGAGAGGATTTTAAATTTATTCAAACTTTCTGAAACAAGAGCACCATTAAAATTGTATAACAGCTGAGGCTACAAATCTTTCAGGTCATTAATTGCATAGGAATATTCCACTGATCTTATCTCCTTCAGAATGTTGAAGACTTCAACTCCAGTTCATGTAAAGAATGCTTGGTAGGCCTTAAAATTCTACTTTTTTCCTTCTTTTCTTCCATTCAATCATGTCCAATTCTCAGAGACTGCCTGGACAAGTCCCTGCAGTTTTCTTGGCAAGTTTTTTCAGAAGTGGTTTGCCATTGCCTCTTTCCTAAGGTTGCGAGAAAGCGGCTGGCCCAGGGTCACCCAGCTGCCTTTGTGCCTAAGGCAGGACTAGAACTCACAGTCTCCTGGTTTCTAGCCTGATGCCTTTAACCACTGCACCAAACTGGCTCTCATAATTCTAGTTAGATTTGCCTAAAATGCATTATATAGTTTAATCTAATATAATCTCTCACCCTTATTTTTGGAACTGGAAATTTATTCTTTCTGAAGAGGGTACAATTCTTCTGATTTACTGATTATCTTAAATTTAAAGATTACAGTGCTCTTAATCCCATTCTAAAATTACCAGATTTACCAAACAATGTAATACATTCAATGAAATTTACTTAAGAGGTTAGTACTTTGCATCCTATGCTTTCCAGTGTTTTGACACTCCTGGAAAAGTCGGTAATGATTAAAGAGTAATAAGAGAAGCTACTTCTCCTTATCAAGTTATCCAGGTCTTTCCTTTATTTATATTTCTGAAGGTTTTTGAATGCTTCTGATTAAAAAAAACCCTCCATACATTCATTTATATACAGCCTGTGTATTTGTGGTGTGTATGTGTATGTATGAGAGAGAGAGAGAGAGAAGAAACAAGTTTTGGAGGAATAATATTGTTCTTTAAAGTCCCTCTCTACTGTATCATTAAGTAGATTCTGTGTCTATACAGATGTAGTATTTGAGTACCTACAAACATTTTATATTCATTGGGAATTTATTTTTTAAAAAATAGGTAGGCCCCAAAACTATTATAAAGGATTGTGAGTTGTCCCGCTGAAGTAAATATGATCCTCACTTTTACTGATACGCACACTGGAATTAGGAATATATTTGAGTTTTTGCAGGCCATTTCCTTGTTCTTTTCCCAGTCAAGCACCCTTAAATTATAGAGC